TATAATATGGTTACTTAAGGCAGGCCAAACATCAGTCTTCATGGTGTGCCTCCACCAAAGAACTATTTCCTTACAGGTCAGTTACATTTCAAGAATGTATAGTTTGGGGAGAACCGGCAAAGCCACCTTCTTTGAGTCAATATTTAATAACAGTAAATATAATGGGGCATTGTTTTCATTTTGCCCGCACAGCCTGAGCAAGAAAGGCACAAAAGCAAGCTGCAATAAATGCCTAGCCAAGTCCTTTTCTTCCACCTGTGTTCTGGCCATCTGACAGACCCAAGATAGCCAAGTAATAATCACAGGCTTTTGGAGGTTCTACCAAGTTTCCAAATTGTGTCCAGGTTTTTTGGGTGGCACTAACAAAAAACATACTTCTATTTTATTCTACTATGTATAGCAGGGGTCCCCAATCCCCGGGCTGCGACCCGTTGGGAACTGGGCCACTGAAGCAGCGGGTGAACACACAAAGCTTCATTTGCGCATGCACGGGATTTAGGGATTTAAGTTGCTTACAGATGCACTACTGCATTACTGCCTTATGCCCACTCCCAAAGGTAAGTGGATAGCAGCCAAAATGCCTCTTCAGAAAATCTTGAGTGAGATGATGCAGTGTTTCTAACACAGTACAAAGGCAAAAACCATTCTTTGGAGGATGTAGGGCATGGATCTACAGTTGTTTGAAACTCATGTTCTTCCAGGATCCTGAAATATCTCCAGAAGGCGTTTGTGCAAAACCCAAGGACAGTTGCAGCTGCTTTAAGGAGCTGTAAACAGGTGCCATGTTCGTGTCAATGTGCACCTCACAACACCTTGTGTGTTTAAATCAAAAATGCAGCACTGCATTCTTAACTAGGAAATCCAGAGTGCCTGGAGGGTGTAATGCTGGCCCTGCTTGACGTATAAGGAAGATTTATTTTATTTTGTTATTTAAATGACTTATAGAACCACCCATCTCATAGCACAAGGCTCTGGGTGGCCTACAAAGGTTAAAATCACTACAACGTATAATCTATGATGACGAAAGATGGCTACCCCTGTAATGATCATTATATTTTACAAAGCTGTAGCTATTTTGTGCTTGTACAGTGCTAAATTCTTTGCTTTGATAGGATTAAAAAAAAATCTAACAACAGAGCTGTCATTTGGGGCCCAAGCAGTCAAGATCTGCACAAAAAGACAAGCAATCAGCATTCATAGCAAAGTTCTTATCATCAGAGGAAAAGCCTGGACTGTTTTTTTAAAGGGTCATAACTCTGACCTTTGGCAGAATTTTATGCCAGGCAAATGCCTGAGCCCTACATATATTATCAAAATTGGGAAAAGATGGAAAAAGTTGCTTATTTAGCATAATTTTTCTAGTCAAGATGAAGGCCAACAAAGTACAAAAGGGAATGAAAGTACCTGTAGAGGCCCATCTTTCTCTTCCAGGTTTTTGCAGTGTTACTCAAGCATTGTCGAAGTCTATCTTCACAAGGCAAGAGGAGGAAGAGCCAAATCATCTTTTATATTCAAGGGGGAGACATGGAGGATGGGGATGAATAAAAGCTGAAAGGGCAGGAATCCTAAATGTGATACTTCTGAAACGGTAACTGAATCCACAAAAAGAAAAACAAGATAAATGAATCTGGGTGTACCCCAAAGGGAAAAAAAGGTATGCTTCAATACTTAAATACCATTACATAGATCAAAGGGAACTTCTAAACATGTTTAACCTTAAGTAAATCTTAATAATTCAAAGACAACTTATTCCCAATACAGATGTATAAAAACTGCCTTCTGTCATATTTGCAGGGCAATTAAAGAACAGTGATAGACTCTTTTAAGATTTTGTTCAGCAGTTAAGAATATGGAGTGTTAGGCCATTAGGGAAGAAAAAAATGTCTTTGGTTTTATTAGCATGGAGGATGACATGTAGATAGAACACAGGCTTAAACCAAGTTTAAAATCCACCCATTAGGCAGTTGTGGGAAAATGGCAGTATCCCATCAACTGTTCCTCATCTGCATACAGGAGAAGTTGTCCCACAGATACTGGAAGGATGAAAAATAAGTGCCATCACAGCCAATGAAAAATGATAGAAAGAGAGCAACTACAAGCAATGGATTAAACAATGGAGATGGTCATGAGAGTCCAGAATCAAGGTCCCACTCAGAGATGGTCCATCAATATGGTCTATGCCAGTGGTTCTCAACCTTTCTAATGCCGCGACCCCATAATACAGTTCCCCATGTTGTGGTGACCCCCAACCACTTATACATCACTGGGTGCCAGGGGCGTGGCCAAAGAAAAGGGGGAAAAAATGGCGGACAGCCTTGTTTGGCGACCCCCGTGAAATGGTCGTTCGACCCCAAATGGGGTCCCGACCCACAGGTTGAGAACCACTGGTCTATGCAGATTTAAACAGAAATAAGGTCTACTGGACTCAATAAGACTCACTACCCAAACAGTTTATTCTGTGAATGAATAACAAGGGAATCAAAAGTCTGGATGCAAAAGTATAAGGTTTTCCATTGTCTTCTGTTTTTTTATTTCATGCATTCAAAACATTGAAAGTTGGCTAATTTACCTGCATCAAGTACAGTGTGAACATCCTTTCTGCAGGCGCTTTTGTCATAGTGTGCTAGGATCTGTCTTGCATGGGTAACTGAAGTAGTTAAACGGTGGCAATCTGGTACCATTTTGAATTACAGCTCTCCCAATTTCTAAGCATGAGCTGTATTGGTTAGGACATACTACTGAACATCTCTGAAGAGCTGTATTGCAACCCCAAGAAATAACTGTTTGGTTCCATTCTGATACTGTTTACAGTTCATTCAACAAGCCACATTCAAAGGTAACTAAAACCCATTGATCAATAAAAGCCATTAAACAAAAAGAAAGTTATTCACTTAAGAGTCTAAGAAGAAGTCCTAAAATATTAAAAAGAGGGAAAGAAGAGTTCCATTGCAGCCAAACCTTCCCAAGTCTCTTGTCTTCTGAAAACTAACTGAGCAGCTAAGATGTCAATGCAGTTCTCTCTGCAGATCCCTGAGACCTGGCCCAAATGCCAACTTCCACTGAGTGCCAAAAAACAATCATCCATGCTTCAGTTGGCAGGGAAAGAAATAAGTTGGAAGGGGAAAGCCATATCAACACAGAACTAAGTACTCACAAATTCTGTAGCACCCTAATGAGCATGCCAGATAGACAAAAACATTTTCCTCAAAGGTTCAGAAACCAAATGAGGACAAGCTAATTAGAAAGACATGGCAGCAGCTAAGTTGTCGGCTCCAACAAGATAAACAGTAAAACAGGTTGATAAGGAGGAAATCTGGCCTTCTAATAAATTTTAGGTTACCTATAGGGGACAAACCCAGAAAGATCCAGCTAGGCCCACTCCCTTTTCTCAGGCTTCTGCACCAAATGTCTCCAGGGGTAATCTGGCCAGCAGCTGCCCCAAAGCAATTCCTCTCAGGACAACTCTGATCCATGCCAACCTTCCAGCATCAGCATAAGAACCATTTACTTACCCACACATTATTAGTTGCAGACGCAGCGCTGCGTGAAGAGAGGAGATGGAAACCCCCCCTCCCCATTACATCATCAGACTTGTGAGGCAGCAGGTGATAGCATCAGGTCTGGAGGTTCGAAGTGAGAAAATGAACTCCCTTCCACTCTGACCAAAAACAGCTGGAATTCCAGAACAGAGATCGTTCACAGCAGTTTGTCCTCCTTTGGAATTCAATTTCTTCTCTCTTTTTCCTAGCCAGAAAGCATGCTGATCCCTATTACATTCTCTCCACACACATTTCTGCACATGGTTTCCAGGGGAGAAGAAAAGGAAGAGGACACCAATCTTTTTCCATGCATATAAAGTGTAAAAAGGAAAGAAAAAAAAAGATTCCATGATTCTCTAGGGAAAACATACATCCAGTTCTAATCACCTCTCCAATATTGTGACAAGAATGCTACAAGCTGTATGATTCGGCTGATGAAATGCCACTTAACCATTTAGAAAGAATTACTATACTTTTAAGATCAGAAGAGCAAAGATTTCTCACCTCCAAGAGAGAGCACTTATATGTATCCATGATCATGATTAGAGTGAAAAGTCAATCTGAGCATAAAGCAAAGTACAAGAGGATCTCCCTAAAAAGAGGAGTGAAGGATTCACCCAGCAAGTTCAAACAGAAATGCACCTCTTAGAGAAGGACATCTAACCCTGAATCATCAGCCACGGGATGAATATTAAATACCTGGACTGAATCTCAAAAGGCCAAAGACAATGAAAAGCTTGAACAAAAAGGAAGACTTGAGAGGGCCTGGCAGTTAATTGGGAAAAGTAGATCACTATGTAGAAAAAGGGAGGGGGGGAGTCAATAATACAGATGGGACATAAAGTGGTGAAGAGATCCATGTAAGTCCAACCCTACTTTTCTTAATTTCAGCACTAAGGTATGTATGTAGGATACACCAGGTTTCAATCCCTAACTGAAGGGGTGGATCCCAGGGACTTTGTAGAAAGAACATGAAACTAGGGAAGGAAGATTAAGAAGAAAGTCTGGACTTCTAATCCCCTGAACTAAAACAGCTTGCCTTTGGGCCAAAGGAGCAGGATCTGATTCATGCAGCTCCATTGAGGAAGAGTTTAGAAATAGACTGGGGATAAATATGGAATAGAAACAGAGAGCTGAAAAACAGATTAAGGTGGACTCTACTTTTTCCTAATGAAAGAAAAAGACACCAATATTTTTAACGAGAATTCAGTAATTAATGAAGCACAGTATTAGGAGAGGGGGTGTTTAGGCCAGTAAAGAATTAAAGAAAGGTCAACAAGGACCGCTTGCACGATCAGATCTATCGTATGAAAACGGGCGATCCAACCTAAACGCAGGGAGAATGATCCCTCGGAGAAGGAGGGGAAGATTGGGAACAAGAGATCAAAGGTCCTGCTGGATTCCACGACCCCCTCCCCTCCCCCCGCACAAATCTCTCCTCAGTAAAGAATTGTCTCTTACCTTGGCGGCGGTTACTGCTATTGCGAGTCCCAGTAATCCTCGGCCATGGCCGCCGGCATGGGCCGCCTCTGAACTCGGCACCCCTCAACCATCCATGGTCACCCCCAAGCCCGGGTCTGTTCGACTCCTCCCTCCCAGCTCCGAAGAACCACCCCCAGCTCAGCCGCCTCCCACCCTACGACTGACCAACGCCAACCCCCTGGCTGGGCTTAACTTTCCCCTCCCCTTTAGAGCGTACCATTATTACCTCTAACATGATTAAAACACCAGAAAACCTGGAGGCCTTGCCCAATTAATGTTACCCCACACTTAAAGAAGGGAAGGGAAGAAACGGAACCAACTCCTCAGTCATTTCCAGAAACGCAGAGTTTTACGAATCTGTGCGAGAACAACAAAGTATCCCCCCTCTTTCATTTCATGTGGTAGAATCCCAGCCTTATTACTTTTTCCGCGATGCGAAGGGGGGGGAATCTCCTCATAAAAACGTCGATTTTTTTTCTGCATTTTGATGACATTGTTTGACTTTGGGCAATCCATTTGCAATAAATCTCAGTCACTGTATTTGACAACTTTCAGGTGTCCGGTAGACATTAAAGGACTGGCCTGTCCTCCATGTGCATCACTATGGTACATTCCACACCATCTTTTTTTTTTTTTGCCCCCTCAAGTAACCGTTCTTAATCGCTAGCAGACGTTGCTCCACCGTTGTTCGCTGGATAGAGTGGGGGGGGGGGTTGCATTTAGTTTCGAAAAACAGATAGTGGCAACTCATATTCATTTTCAAGGGGCTTAAGTAGAACCACAAATCTCTTTATATTTAAATCATCCTCTTAAGTTGGGACCCTGCAAATTGGTCGAGACGCAGTTGGGTTACCAGTATCTAAACCCAAACTACTGTTACAGGCTTAAGCGAAACTACTTTATTAGCTGCAGAAGGATGGGTTGAACGACAACCAATTGACATCATATTAATTAGTTACATATAATACTGTACCGTAATAATGAGTTAAACTCATTTTATCCTAGATTTTTTTTTAACTATTATCATCTGGCAGTATAGGATAATAAAAACAAAGACAAGTAGGCTGAAAAGTAGTTTTTCATCCCAAAGTTGTAAACATATTAAATATCACAGTATAGTGCAATATTGAAATGCAATATTAAGGGCAGCATAACGGTGAGTAGAATGTGAAGGATGTGTGTATATAACGTATGTTCTTATTTGTGGTTTTTACTTGTGTGTAGTATGCGCTGTGGACAAAACTTAATTTTGTTGTGAGTTAATGACAATAAAGATTCTATTCTAATCTATTCTAATCTATTCTATTCTATTCTATATGAAGCAAATTTGACTCAGGCTAGTCCAAAAGTATTTATTGGGGGTTTTGGTTCTCTACTTAAGCCAGGGGTGTAAAACTGCCAGCCCGCAGGCCGAACGCATCATCTGGAAGCCACGCCCACCCCATTGGCGGCAATGGTAAAACTGTCCCGATACGTTGCGCGATGTCATGTGATGTCATGAGTTAGACATGTCTAACCTAAGCAATTAAACTTATTTAAGAGCCGAGGTGGCGCATCAGTTAGAGTGCAGTACTGCAGGCCACTTTAGCTGACTGTGTTCAGCAGGTCAGCGGTTCAAATCTCACCGGCTCAAGGTTGACTCAGCCTTCCATCCTTCCGGGGTAGGTAAAATGAGGACCCAGATTGTTGGGGGAAATGTAAATATATATATACATTGCTTACTGGTGTACAACGCTTAGAGAGTGCTTGCACTTAAAGCGGTATATAAGTTTCATAAATAAATAAATAAATAAACTGAGCAGAGGTTACTGCCATCATTAAAGCATAGTGTGCAGCAATTGGGGCGACAGAATTTGGAACATCCGTCTAAAATTTCAGTGCATTGTTTTAACATTCCAAACTCTTCCTGAAATCTGAGAACAATGAAGGAAAGACAAGCATAAAGCTGTGGCTTAGCTTGCTTGAGATCCACAGCAGTTTCGCCCACGGAATATGCAAACTGGATGGTTCCTTCCTACTATCATCCTAACATGGAAAGCAATAGACTTAGTTACGTCTCTTTCCCTCCCTTCCATGCCTCCACAAATCAGTGGTTTTGTTCGTGGCTGATTTTATACAAATTGATGTCATCAAATGTTTTTTTTTCCTTTTTCTGTTGCGAGCTGTCTGAATATTAAGCAAACAGTGGTTTTAAAGTTACCATTTCGCATTGCTTGCTTTCTAATGGTTTGCCGTAATTAATCCCCACTTTTTTTTTTAATTATTGGGGTTAGGGCAGGATCTAAGAAGGGAGAGAGCAAACGTATTTTCTTCTCTTGCTACCTCAGGTAAATAGCTAAATGTGCTGTACTTATGTGGCAGTAAGCCTTGCTTCTGGGCCTTGTGCTGGCTAGTTAAGTTTGAGCCAGGAAGAATTACAGATGAACCATATTCCCCTTGGTCTGCCACGCCACCCATAACCTTTAATGTGTGAAGAAGGGACCTTAATGAGAGCCAAGATGTTGCTCTGTTGAGCTTTTCAGATGTTTATTAGCCCTAAAAAGGCTGCTGTCATTGTAACAAGACTAAAGACAAAGTAACCAGTTAGGTCATAGTCGCCATTCTAAAGACTGTTATTTCTCACAACAACTTGCCTTCCAGCCAAGGGTCCCAGAATGAAAAAGCTTGGATTAAAAAGAGCAACCTGGAATCCACATAGATAATTGAAGGATTTATTTGTTTGTCTAATCTCTTACAATGCTTAATGCAGAAATCCAATTAAAATAATTTACAAATAGTTACCTTTTTACTCAGCCAAAGGGAGCCAACCTACCCGTAGCATTGTCAAAATGCTTTAATAAGCTTATATTTAACAGAAATCTGCCTTTTTGTGACTTTATTCTATGTCCTGAACCCTCTGTTAGAGAACAGGCAGACTCATTTTCCAAGTACAGGTAGTCCTTGATGTAATGACCACAACTGAGCCCAAAATGTCTGTTAAGTGAGACTTTGTTAAATGAGTTTTGCCCCTATGTCACAACCTTTCTTGCTACAGTTGTTAAGTGAGTCACTGAAGTTGATAATTTAGTAACCTGTTTGTTAAGTGAATCTGGCTTCCCCATTGACTTTGCCAGAAAATCGCAAAAAGTGATCACATGACCCCGAGACACTGCAACGGTCATAAGTATTAACCATTTGCCAAGTGTCTGAATTTTGATCACATGATCATAGGGATGCCGCAAAAGTCATAACTGAAAAACTGTCATAAGTCACTTTTTTCAGTACCATTGTTACTTTGAACGGTCACTAAATGAACTGTTGTAAGTCGAGGACTACCTGTACTACCTTCAAATAACTTGCAGAATGCTATCCCCCTCTGCCATCTTTTCTAAACTAGTGGGGTTTTTTAAAATTCAGGACATCTTCCCAATTTTAAAAATTATGCTTGTATGGTTTTTATTTATCAATATTCATTATATTAAAATTAACACATTTGCTATTGCTTCTCACAGTTGTTTGATTTCAATATTGTATTTCTCAACACAAGCTGGCAAACAATTTTGATTTCATGGACCTCTGAGAGGGCTTTGAGGAACCCCAGAGGTCTTAGGGCCACACTTGATTGAAACACTGCTCTAAAGTTACTAGTTCCTTTAGTCTGCCCATAGGAGAATTAGTTTATAATCTCCTGATCTATCCCCATTTCCTTTGTTTGCATCTAACTTTTTTCTTTCCTGAAATATGATACTCTGAGTTGGACACAGTATTAGAAAGGGTGTGAGCAGTGCAAAATGGGATAAAATTATTCCTTCTCACTGGGGAAAACATATATTTCCTTTGATTTAGCATTTGCCCTTTTGGCAGTCATATCACACTGCTGACTCTCCTTCAGCTTGTGATCAGTTCAGGTGGAAGATCAGCCTAGTGAGACCACACCTGGAATACTGCAACCAATGTTGGTCACCATACTACAAAAAAGATGTTGAGACCTTGGAAAAAGTTCAGAGAAGAGCAACTAAGATGATCCAAGGCCTGGAGACTAAAACATATGAAGAACGGCTGCAGGACTTGGATTTGGCTAGTCTAAAGAAAAGAAGAAACGGAGCAACATGATAGCAGTATTCCAGTATTTAAGGGGCTGCCACAAAGAAGAGGGGGTCAAATTATTCTCCAAAGCACCAGAGGGCAGGACAAAAAAAAAAAATGGTTGGAAACTGACCAAAGAGAGAGGCAACCTGGAATTAAGGAGCAACTTCCTAACAGTGAGGTCAATTAACCAGTGGAACAGCTTGCCTTCAGAAATCGTGGGTGCTCCATCTGTGGAGGTTTTTAAGAAGAGACTGGACAGTCACTTGTATGAGATGGTATATAGCAGTGATGGCGAACCTTTTAGAGACCAAGTGCCCAAACCACAACCCAAAACCCACTTATTTATTGCAAAGTGCCAGGGCCGCATCAGCATTGTGGTGCCCTCGGGGGGGGGGGGCAGGGAGGTGCCTCTGAGTACTGCCTCTGGCATGCAAAAACCGGGGGCGCAAAAATGGACCACCATGCTGCAAGGCACAAAAATGGCTGCCGCCACACCGCAGGGTGCAGATAGAAGGCGCTGCACCACACAAGAACGGGGCAGGGCTAGTGAGTATCACACAGGCACTAGCCCTGCCCCATTTGCAGTACGTGCGTGCTCGTGGCCCCATGTGCGCATGGACGCGCGTAAAATGCTAGTCAGCCGCTTCGCCTCCTTTTTGCTGGGTGGGGCTCCTGCTCCAGGCGACGGTGGTGGTCTGATGGACCTGCTGCTGGTGGCAGTGGTGCATGTGCCAACAGAGAGGGCTCTGAGTGCTGCCTCTGGCACATGTGCCATAGGTTCGCCACCACTGGTATATAGGTTCTCCTGCTTGAGCGGGGGGCTGGACTAAAAGACCTCTAAGGTCCCTTCCAGCTCTATTCTATAATTTTCCCAAGCGGGCTTAACCAAATACTCCCCCAGTCTATCCTTGTACATTTGTTTTCTCATTCTACAGTATATACTATATTAAAATCTCTATATTAATAAAATTCTGGTTCCCGTAACCTTTAATTGGATGAAACGGTGCATCACAGGGCAACAATTTTTGAACCAAGGTACCTCAAATGGGCTAACTTATAGAAGGTGTCCAAAATCTGGGAACTATAACTCCTTTGGCAACTAAAACATTTTATGACATAAAAATTAAAATGTCACAAAATATTTCCTGTGCTGATGTTTGACAGCGATGTATAGTTCAACATGGGCTATATTCAACGCCAATACGTCTCTGAACGTATTCCAACTTTTCCAGTGAAGACAATACATTGGAAATTCTGTCATAGTTGGTGGCAGTGAGAAATCTGGTAAGGAAATCTCTCTGGAAGCATGAAACATTCATGGGCTGTCTGGTTATTTCTGTTATTTTAGCCCACTGCAGTAATGTCACAGTTATGGAGTTTTAGATCTAGCCCTACAAAGACCTTCAAATACTGTTTTACTAATAACATGAAAACCATTTGGCTGGTATATTTGGTGAAGCTATTATATCCTTGTATTCAAAGAAGACAAAACAACTGTGATTCTACTACTATGGACTGTGACGAACTCCTTACTCTGGAGAAGATTGTTTGCCTGGAAAAGTGGGGTGTAAAGTAAGCAATAATGGAAGGCTGTGTAGTAGATTTTCAGTCATTCAATTTTTAAACAAAGCCACCAGGCATACAGTGTAGCCTCAACTCTAGATTTATTTATTTATTTTAAATGTTGATTGTGATCCTTCTCAAACTGGCTTTAGGCCTGTTAATTTTACTGGAAATTATTTAAATTGCTTAGACAAGGATAGAATTGTAATGCATTGTTATGCTGGCCAAGTTCTTTTTTGCATGATGAACCAAGAGGAATTCTTGTTCAAACCTTGGCTATTGTTCTATATGTCAGCCTCTTTCAGCTTACTATGTTCCAGATGGGCTAAATTATAACTTCCAGAATTCCTAGCCATTAGTATGCAGTTCTTGATGAAGGCCTGTATTTTTTCAATTCTGTTTTCTCTAGTGCTTTAGTGTTTATGGCTGTTTTATTATATTTGTTATTGCTATAAACAATTTTAAATTAAATTCTCATTTTAGGTAAGTCAGAAAGGGCGAAATAAATAACATATGAATCGATAAGGCTTTCTTCTCTACTCTTTATTATTCTTTTAATACATTAAAAACTAAATCTGTCAATTGATGCAGATGTTTCATTGCTGCCATTTTGACCTGACCAATGCCAGCTTTCCCATAAAGCAGGAGTGAAAGGATCCTAATTCATTTTGGAATCCTACCTGCCTAAGGACTAAATAAATCAGAAGAGGGGTGAAAAGGGAACAGATGGAGAAAACCATTTTTCTGCCTCCTGGTAGCAAGCTTGCTGCGATCAATCTTCTGCTAAGATTGTCAGCTGTAAAATATTTCAATGATGGTGGTATATAAAAAGAGTTCTGATGGCATCTGGATTCCATGCTTTCTCACATGCATGTTCATATTGTTGTGAATTTTCATTTGGGAGTTTGGTGCCAAAGGCACAGTGAAAAAGCTGCTTTTGTTTCATAGATAAGGATCAGAGATATGGTTTAGTAACAAATTTTCAAAAGCCCTGGAACTAGAGATACCAGATTCAGGCTGCAGAAATCCAAATAGCAGCAAGAAGTTAGCACATCCTGACCTCTTCGCTGTCATCCAGTGGCTGTTCAGATGTTTGCAGTCTAAATTTCATACTCTTACCAGGAACCGTCACATATTATCTGCTCATTTCTTTCAGTCATTGGCTATCAAGATTGCATAGGATTTAAAGTAAAGAACAAAATAAAATCACTAAGTTCTATAAAGGCCCATTATTAGGGTTTATGGGTCCTGAATTCCAAAATATCTGGAGAATATGAGATTGCTTAGCTATAACCATGGTTTGCTGAATAAGACCTATTATCTCTTATTATAGTTTAGAACTGTGCTTCCCAAATTTTACCCAACTCCATTTATCAGAAAATCCATTTTACCCAATGTAGGTAAACCCCTCTAAATCAAATTAAATCTTCCCGTTCTGATTGAGTAATGGGTTCATGTGTCATTACCCAAAGAAAAACCACTTTTACCCAATTTGGGCAACTTAACCTGGTTTGGGAAGCACCAGCTTAAGAATGTTGAGTAAACCCAACTTGTATCAGACAGGGATAGCAGCAAACATATCACTATTAGCTCTAGATCTGGTAGAGTAGACTGCTTTTTCTCTTCTCTTTTTTCAAAACCACATAAAATAAATGAAGACTGAAACCTGCTTTACCTGACATAACAATTTTATATATTAGCTATGTTACACAAGTAATCCTCAACTTAGGACCACAATTGAGCCCAAAATTTCTGTTGCTAAGTGACACAGTTGTCAGTGAGTTTTGTCCTGTTTTATGATCTTTCTTGTAACAGTTGTTAAGTGAATCACTGCAGTTGTTAGTAACATGCTCATTAAGTGAACCTGGCTTCCCCATTGACTTTGCTTATCAGAAGATCTCAAAAAGAGACCGTGTGATCCCGGGACACTGCAACCATCATAAATATAAGTCAGTTGTCAAGTGTCTGAATTTTGATCATGTAACTGTGGGGATGCTGCAACAGTTGTAAGTGTGAAAAACAGTCATAAGTCACTTTTTTCAGTGCCATTATAACGTTGAACGATCACTAAATGAATTGTTGTAAGTCAAAAACCGCCTGGACACAAGGCCAAAATGTAGTTGCCTGATTTTGAACTCATTAGCTGTGTTTGATTACATGCTTGCCCATGCTTAATTAACTTGATCCAAACAGCAGGCTGGGCAGTCCCTATCAAACAAAGCCAATTTAACTCAAGAGGACACCCACCAGAGTTTGCCTATCACGTTGCCTGGTAGGTACTACATCTGGAAGAAAAAAAAAGGGTGGGCAACAGTGTGGGTGGCATGTACACTCTTCCCAGGATCTCACCAGCCTAGAGAAAGATACATTATTTTTGGAGGCTTGGGGATGTGAAGCCAAATATAGCTTGTTCTAGCACCTTTACTAACCTCTCCCTGCTTTTCACAGCAAGATAAATCTGCAGATAAAGCAGCTCTTAAAGTCACAGGATTTTCTATTTTCCACTTGTGTGGACCTGGAGCCTTTCTGCTTCATATCCCAGGCTTAGAATTAAGCAACAAGCAGTTGGGCAGGTATATAAAAAGGAATTCTCCCTGTGGAAATAGTCCTCACAGAGAACATTACTTGTGTTTCTTGGATATAGTAGTGGACCTTGGCCAAATGGACTACAAGAAGCATGGGACTGTGATACAGCTTGCAATTCCACCCTGTTTGTCTTGTTTTGGGGAGGGGGGGGGAAACACAAATATTGTGGTTTATAAATCACAGTTCATTCTATGCATACTCAGTTAATTGTGGTTTACACTAAACCATAAAGACTCTGGCTGGCTTGTAAAACCCTGGCAAAATAGTCAGATGATTCAAAAAAGATATGGCAGCCTATTTAAACAGTTTTAAGAAGGAATCAGACACATCTACATTATTAATGAAGCCATCAGAGAGCTGCAGGCATAAAAATGGCATTGTACGCTGTGTTCCAGAGGAAGAATCAGATTACTCATGAGAAAAACATGAATGGAATCAAAGGATTTAACTCACCAGGCTTTTGATTTAATCCTTGAGCCTGTTTTATGTTCAGTGCAGTTTTTATTAAGAAAGTTTTCAACAGAATAAAAACAATGCAAATTAAGAATTGAAGAGGAAAAAGGGTAAAGGTAATAAGAATTTGAAAAAGATAGAAAAGAAAGGAAAAACACAAAAAAAGAAAAACAGTTAAACAAACTTCAAACTTCTTAAAAGCAGTTACCGTACAGGTAATCAATCCTCAATTTATGACAACAATTGGGATTGGAATTTCTGATGTAAATTGTTGCAGTCATAAATCCAGTTAGACCCAATTTTACAATTTGTATGGTGGTTGTGAAGCAAATCCAGCTTCCCCATTTTTTTGTTGGAAATCAACAAACAAGGTCAGAAATTGGTATCATATGATAAAGGAACACTGCAACTGGTCGTAAAAGTGAGCTGGTTGCCAACAGCCACAGTTGTGATCGTGTGCCATGGGTGGTGGTGGTTGTGAATTCAGGTAGTCCTTGACTTACAAGAGCTCATTTAGTGACCTTTCAAAGTTACCACGGCACTGAAAAAAGTGACTTATGATTGTTTTTCACACTTACGACTGTTGCAGCATCCCCATGATCACATGATCAAGATTCAGATGGTTGACAACGGACTCATATTTATGATGGTTGCAGTGTCCAGGGTCTTGTGATCACTTTTTGTGACTTCTGACAAGCAAAGTCAATGGGGAAGCCAGATTTATTTAACAACCGTGTTACTAACTTAACAAATGCAATGATTCACTTAACAACAGCGGCAAGAAAAGTCAGAAAATGGGGCAAAGTTCACTATAAATTTTGGACTCAGTTGTGGTCGTAACTTGAGGACTACCTGTACAGTTGTAGGTCATTTTTTCCAAGGCTATCATAACTTTGTACCATTATTAAACAATTGTTAAGTTTATAAGGGGTTTCCAGTCATTAACAATTGTAATTGTTCATCTAAGCCAGGCATGTCAAACTCGCGATGTCACGTGACATTGTGTGACATATCGCGACTTTTTCCCCATTGCTGGCAATGAGGTGGGCACGGTTTCAGCGTGAGGTATCTGGCCTGTGGACCAACAGTTTGACATGCCTGATCTAAGCAAACAATTTTGCCATCTCTGCTAGTTCCATCATCTTCATTAACCATTCCTCTGTTGTGGATATTTCAGAGTCTTTCTATTTTTGTACGTATTACACATCTTGCAGCAGTGATCATACATAAAAATAATCTTCCATGGCACTTTTCTAATTGTCCATTAGCTCCAGCCAAAAAAGTTCTGGTTTCAGCTGAATATTAATCTTTAAATAGAATAGAAGAATAGAATAGAATAGAAAAATAACTTTATTGTCACTTTGAATCTACACTAATCAGCATACATTAAAATGAAATTTCATTGCACACAGCTCTCAAAGGGTCACCACTTCCAATATACATTACTAAATTCTTTGTACTGTGTTGAACCCAACATTTTCTGCTTCTTTTACAAGTCTACCAGGCATGATAAAATGACCATGTTGTCCACATTTCCAATATAAATTTGAAATATCTTTTATACATTCTCAATAATTTTTCTGGAGCTATATACTAACAGTACATTATTTTATAAACATTCTCTTTTAAATTATAACAGTATGAATTTCAGTCCTTTTAACCATATGTTTTCCCATCATCTCAACATTATGTTATCACAAAGGTTCTTAGCCCATTTTATCTTGCCAGCCTTCATTTGTTTTTTGTTTCAAATTTCAGTAAAATATGTACATTTTAATCAATTACATAATCAGCTCCAAATTCTGTCTTCTGCTGCTCAATTCCAAATGCCCTTTTATCTGCTTTACATCTTTCTTTTTAACTGCCTATACAAAAACTATATCCTCTGCAACCAGTTGTTCTTTTGATTTCATCTTTTATACTTCATGCCCGTGTTCTTGCATTTCCCAATAGATTTGCCCACTGTTTCTTTCCTTCTGGGAAAGAAGTGCCTGTTCCTTTAAAACCAGGCTATTTGAGAGGGGAATCTTTTTATTTTGGGAGGCCTCTGATGGATTTTTGCTTGCAAAAGGCACAAGACATAGCCAGGAGCTTTTCTTTTTTTAAAAAGAGAGACATAACAAGCGATCATAAAACAAATCATGCCACGGGAATATCTCTAAACTAAATGGCGTTCTAGACAATATGTGTGTGTGTGTGTGTGTGTGTGTGTGTGTGTGTGTGTGTGTATTTGGAAGGCCAAAGAAAAAACTGCAGAAAGTAACAGCTCTGTCAACAGCAGATTAAAAAAAAAAAGAAAAATAATAGGTATGTATAATGCCCTGATTGTCCAAAGTTCCTAAATAAAAGATTGCAAGCTAAAAAACAGATGAAATTAAGACTCGTGTGACAGATGCCATTGAGTGTTCCCTTTAGCTGCCATTTCTCCATAATCCATACTGCTCTTTTCCCAAACGTGTCAAGCAAATTCAGAAAATTAACACTGTGCAAACACATCACAATCTGATTAGGATTTGGCTCTTTACTATGTAAAGAAAGATATCAAGGAAGTGTGTCCAGATCATATACGAAGTATGCTCCCTCCCGAAAGACAGCTTTCCCACAAGAAGGTATGTTCCTGTTTGGATTACTGTTCCCATAATCTTTTACCATAATCTTTGAGAGCTAGTTGTTGTGGTGGTCAGGCATCAACCTAAAACTCAGGAGACTCTGAGTGGGTGACTTTTGGCCAGTTTCTCTTTCTCAGCCATAGAAAGCAGGCAAGGGATTAGTCCAGGTGGTCAACAGGAATCAGGACTGACTCAAAGGCATATATAATGATGTATATATGATATATAAATAAATATATAATACAAAATGTATTATAAATACATTTTGTAAATAAATAACATCTGGGACAACCATTGGCATTGACAGTCAGTCAATTGTAAAAGGCAGCTTTACTTGGCAGAGGTAGAAGCCAGGTATCTTGCAACAGTACCTTTAATAGTATTCAACAACAGCATCTGCCTATCTCAGGGCTTTGGGAAAGAGTTCATAGGTGGACAAAAATGCCAAATCCAGTCTAAACATCTGACTGGCAATCATGATGATGACAAAACTCACATCAGTCAACTGCAAAAGAGAGCTTCATGTGGAACGGCTGACATCCTGTGACAATTCCTTTCATCAAGCAACATCTGCCCATCTCAGATTCTTGAGGAGGACTCAATAAATGGAATAAATGCTAAATCATCTGGCTGTGCACCCAACCATAATAATTTTTGATCACTGGAAATGAAAAGTAAATATCTAAACACCTGGAGGTGAATCAAAACATCTGGAATTGAAGTGGGCTACAGTGTATCTCCCTAGAACTTTCCTTAAAATGGATAACAGCAAGGGATGTTGGGAGGCATAGTTCCTTCGTTCAAAATGGGCTTTACATAAGGCATAGCATATGCTCATCTTTCTTTCCGTAATTCTGCATTCTTCAAAGTGTCAAGTAATGCAAATCTTATTCCAGGTTGGCTATATTTTATGAAAGTTGCATTAAATGTTATTTTCTTATGCAGTATCACTGTATTATTGTATTATTATTACAGTATTATTGCCTTTTTATTTTTATTTTTTTATTTATTGCCTATTATTGCCTTATTATTGCCTTAAATATTGTAAAAGATCCTTGAATGGAAGGGGATGGTGTGTAAAAATATATAAAGTACGCAGAAAATGGAATTTATAGATTAATAGCATTGTGGCAATGTTTTCCAAATATCTAGGTCAGGATTTTGCAAAAGTACAGCACCTAACCAAATTTTTTTCATGTAAGCTAATTTAAAATTAACATTCTCCAATTTAGCAAAAAGAAAAATTATTGTGCCAAAAATTAACCTTTCCCATACCGGGAGTCGAACCCGGGCCGCCTGGGTGAAAACCAGGAATCCTAACCGCTAGACCACATGGGAAGGACATGTTGATAGCGTTTCGTCAGCTCGGGTCAAGGCTGAAGAAAGCCAAGTCAAGCCAGTTCGTGCCTGCCCTCTTTTGGAGGAACAGCAAAGTGCTATAATTCAAAGCAGTCGTTTTTCTGAGCCATTATCCTTTGCATTGTCAGCCCTATGCAGCAATAAGGCTACTACAGTAGTATCTTAAATGGAAGAATGCCCTCTGTGGTCCGTTGGAGCCTCCCTACGTTAACCTGACAGTAAATTCTATGGAGTCTGATGAAGTTTACTTCCAGGAAGGCGCGTTTAGGATGGTAGCTCCAGGTCCGTTCCGACTGAGATGTTGATCGCCTGATCGAGACTGCAGAATTCCGAAAACCCACCAGAGGGCAGCAAAGAAGGAGAGGATTCTGTTTCGATTCCCTGCAGCATCTTCCTCCGATGAATCCACCAGTTAAGGAGTAAGGAAAAGAGGTAATTGGCTGGAGGTAATTGCAGACACCTGGGCTAGCCTGGGACCGAGCTGGTTAAAAGGCAGCTGCAAGCTCTCCTCCCCAATGTTCTCTTCTGAAATTGCTTTTGTACTGATGGGGAGAATCTGAGTGATCCTTCGGAAGAGAACTTTTAGCTTCGTACTTTTGTAGTCTCATGTCCCAGCAGAATGGTTTCATATCTTGCAGTAAGGTGAGCATAGGGGGATGGTGAAAAAGTTGGCCTGGACTTAGACAAAAATTATGTGGTTTTTGCCTTACTTAAAATAGCCTTACTATTTGGGATATTAAGCTGCATTTTACTTAACTCTGGTTTATTAGATAAGCAACAACTGGTTGGGTTCACATAGCTTGTAAAACTATCAATAGTAGCTTAATGTGATATGTAAACCCAGGTATTTGGCACAATAGAGGGTTAGCTTCCCCTAGATTGTATCCTAATAGTTTTATCACAATATTCTAAAAACCACCTAACTTCTTAGGCTAAATCATGTGGTTTGTTTTTATTTTGGCTTAGTTGTCCATTGCTTGTAAACCATAGCAGATAGCTTAGTGTGTATAGTTAAATAATATTAAACTACAGTTATACCTGAGTCTGTCTCTAACCCAAAATTTGTGAGCATGTTTGGGGTAATTTATTGCATCCTGTGATTTGTTTTGGCTTGATATGATGGGTCAATCTATCCATTGTGGTTTGTAAACCAAGCCCTTTGTGAATCCAGCCAGTGGCACCATATGACTAAACTATGGTGTATTCTAAGATGTGAACTCAGACTGGCTGTATTATGCTCTCTCTGGGTCTGCCAGTCAAAACCAAGATGTGATTTATTTCATTTTTGTCAAAATAGTACATGAGCCCATCCCCTCTGCTGCGCCTTATGGGTTTGGGCTTAACACGAAGATTGAGTCTAGGTGTTAACTTATTCTGGCAATGGATTCTCAGTGAGAGTAGAGAGTAGAGTAGATGTTGGAAGGGACCTTGGAGGTCTTCTAGTCCAGAATAGAACTGAATAAAAGCTATTGAGCAGGTGCTTGTCCTGCTGGGAAGACCTTGAAGTGGGTTTTGGTTTTCATCTGAGCTGGCTCCTGAAATCTTGGCTTCTGCTATAGCTAACCAGCATCTTATCAAGCATATTAACCAGCCTGGGAAGAATGAGGAAGGTGCAAACCTTCTCCCCCCCCCAGTGATTGAGTTGCATGTATAAAATGTGACCTGTACTATAATTTCTCTTTCAGACTCTTTCTCCTCGTTGTTCTGGTCCCCAGAACATGGCTCCAGTTTGTTTCTCTAGTAGGTAAGCAGGAGGCTGAGCAAATGCAAAACAAACTGGGTTTGTTAGATTTTTGTATGGCTTTGAATGCCTCTAGAGAAGGAAGGACGTTTCAGTGGTGTGGGAAGAGTCATATGTGTCCTTCCCCCACTTTTCTTCCTTCTTTTGAAGAAATAGAAGGTGGCCTAGTCCTCACCTTGATTAAACACACAAATTGGGCAGGGACTGTGTCTTGCCCTTTCCCAAGATACAACATACTAAGGAAAGAAATGTGTACCTTCTAGGTACTTTGACCAGTCATTTCTTAAATTATTCCTTATTAGAAATGGTTAATAAACAAGGAAGATCAGATCTGTAGGCCCAGCTAGAGATAGCAACAGATATTATACTTCTGGCTATTGGTAGATTGGAAAGGCATATTGGGACCCAGTCTTGGACAAAGCATTATCGTTAAATTCTTCCAAGCTCTTCCAGGCTACATCCATGATTCATACAGGTTCTGCACAAACCGAGTAAGTTGGTTTGGTGTTTATCGCAGCCTTCCCCAACTTAACATGCTTTAGGTATTTGAATTATCTTTTTGGTCTTCCCAGTCTCTGGCTGGGAAGAAAGGAATTGGAATGTAATATGCCTGGATGACAATGAATTGGTACAGGCATTTTTAGTTATCGTCTAGATCATGTCAGGAATTTCAGATATTCTGAGCAGTTGCCTAGCCTGGTGGAGGGATCATCGCCTGATCCTTTTGGAAACTTTGCTCCCACGCTGATTCAAGGATGCTAAAACGATCCAGTCAGCTTGCACATCCCTCACAGGGCGATTGTTGGGAGAAATAGGCAAAGGAAGCACTAGGTACACCACCTTGTGTTCCCGAATGAAAGATGAGATTAAAATCTAATAAAATATTCTTCCTCTTTGCGGTTCAGATCGGGTGGAAGTGGAATGTCTAGGTAGCCTTGCAAAACTCAAGTTGAATCCAAGTTATTTCCAGAACAAGTATGTCGGTTTTGCTGCCCTTGGTGAGTCTTGATCCTCCTGTCTTTTATTGTGAATCATTAGGAAATCTTCAATCTGATCCTTGTTTTTTAAAAAATATGGTATTCCATCTGATGATGCAAGGATGAAGTAATGCTACTTGGTAGAGCGGTGCAGTGCTTCAGAGTCACTCTCCACAGAATGTTTTAAAATGGCACCACAGGAGCATACATGGAACATCTGTCTGCAGCATCTTAAAAAGAGCCGGGTCTGTTCCCAGGATTGTCTGGCAGCTGCCTTTAAAGTGCTGCAAACAGATGCAATGTTCACTCTCTGCAGCATCTTTCAGGAAGTGAATCCAAAGAGCTGTGTGGCTTTCTATCTGAGTGGTTAACTCTCTAGATTCTAGGCTAGTGACAATAAGCTTCAGCTTGTCTGCCTAAGTCAGGGGTAGGCAACCTTGGCTCTTTTATGACTCGTGGACTTCAACTCCCAGAATTCCTGAGCCAGCATGGCAGTTTCAGGAATTCTGGGAGTTGAAGTCCACGAGTCATAAAAGAGCCAAGGTTGCCTACCTCTGGCCTAAGTTAACCTCACTTCATTCAATTTGGAAAGCACATGTTTGGGTTTGTTTACTGCCTGGATGGGAGGCTGTCTGAAAAATCCCACCTATGTTCTCCACTTGCATATTGAAGGAGTATTCTTAATAATCATTTCTGTATGTTGTAATTTGTCTACATCTCCCCACTACCATCAGATTTTTTTTAAAAAAACCCTGGTACGCTAGGACTATTAATATCAATTGAATTTTCTGAGGCAAAATCTATCTTAGCAGCTGTTTAATATTGTATGTTCTGTAGTATGTTCTCTTCCTTGCCGATGATGGCATGCTTCTATAATTATGATGCATATTTTCCTCTGCTCAAGCTCTCCATCTTTTATGCTGCATCACAAGGGAAGAAAAACCACTTTTCCCAAATATTTTCAAATCTGGATCTGGCTGAAGTGGAAAGAAGGCCTGTGCCACTATCGTTTAGGCAAGGTCGTGCTTGTCAACAATATGATGGTGATAACTATGTTTAGAAAGGAAGATTTCTTGTTTCTAAATAACCAAAATATTTATTCTTTCAGATCGGTTTGGCAGAGCTTGGTCGATTGATGAGGTCCAGGCTACGAAATGTGGCTATACCATCTTCCAGGATGCTTGGGGGAACATTGAGTTCCGGGCCTCCCTGATTGGCTGCTACACTCAGATAGTGGTAGGGATGATGATGGACTGACTGTAAACCAGGCTCTGGAATTCTATACTAATGTCTCAATTCTGAAAGTGTTCATGGGATATCCATCTTCTTTTGGGCAAAGGTTGCAGGTAGATGTTCTGTAGAGCATTGAGGGCACTATAAGGATGGAGCAAGAAAAGAAATGGGTGTGGTCAAAGCAAAAAAACAGGCTGTGTTTTTATGTTGTCATAAGCCAAATCTGTAAGATGCTCAAACATTTTCCTCATTATACTCATGGTTAAGATGTTAAGAATCTATAAAAATCTGAGGGACACTGAAAAAAAATGCAGAATGTTGTTCCCAGGTTGGAGGATGTACAGATAAACTCTAGTCTAGGGGTAAATAAAGTATGATACTAATCACTGCCCATCTTCCTATGGTACATGCAGTCCTGCTATACAATTGTAATTCACCCTCTTCTGGAATGGCACAGGATCCCTGTCCCTACCAACTTTCTAATTTGTTCTGCAACACTGTTAACGTCTGCTTGTGATGTTGATGCGAAAATTGTAATCCTGTTCCAGCTGTTCTGAAGAGGTCATTTTCCTACACTGAACAGTATACTACACTAGCAATGTTGTGCCTTAAGTACTTCAACCACCACAACTTAATAGGCTGGAGGCTTCATTTCTAAATGCAGATTCTATTAATTGTTTTTTCTTTCTGCAACCTTTTATTCAGGATGATCAGCAGTTCACGCTAACCATACAAATCCAGGCAGCAACAAACCCAGAGATGCACAATGCAGCTTTGCTTAATGTCCCTGTGAGTTGCTCGTACGGCCCATGGCAGCCCAGGGAAATTGTCTGTGAGACAAACTATATGGAGGTAAGTTTGGAGAACAGTCGAGTAATCCTCAGCACTGATAGTGCGGCACAATCAAAATTGTGATGGTTGTACAATTTTCCTATAAATGTGTTGCTAGGAGGTCTCAGGTACATCATGACAGTGGACTGATGGAATGGTTGAACTGCACTTGAATAGCCCTGGTTCGGTGTACGTTACTTAGAAAAAATGGAAGTATAATGCAGTTGGCACTTTAACCTTGTATGGACTTTTAGATTCTCCCTTTGATTTTTTTTTTCCTTTAGCATTTTTTAGTATCGCCAGGTTAAAGCCTATAGGCAAATAACGTGAAAAGGGATTAATGCTAGAACTGTATATTCTCTTTTATGGACACCAACTTCAGAATCTGTATCCAAAAAGTCCTAATCCTCTGCCAGAAAAAGCCACATTTTGCAAGTATAATTCTGTGCTCAGGCTAGATGTAGAATTGTGGCAGTTTGGGAAGGATGAGGGCGTGAAAAATCTTGCCTGTCTTTCATTCATTCTAGCATTTTGATAAGTACTACTGATACCCACAATTAGGGCAGTGTGCTCTTCTGTTCAGTTGTCTGAGACAACACAAGCACACCCAGCTTTCCACTACAGGTCGTCCTGGACTTACAATATTTCATTGAATGACCGTTTGAAGTTACAACGGCCCTGAAAAAGTAACATTTTCACACAACCGTTGCATCATCCCCATGGTCCCGTGTTCAAAATTCAGATGCTTGGCAACCGACTCAGGACGGTTGCAGTGCCTCAGGTGTCATGTGATCCCCTTTTGAGGCCTTCTGACAAGCAGAGTCAATAGGGAAGCCAGGTTCACTTTAATAACTGTGTTACTAACTTAAGAACTGCAGTAACTCGCTTAACAAATGCGGTAAGAAAGGTTGCAAAATTAGGCAAAACTCACTTAACAAATGTCTCACTTAGCAACAGAAAGTTTGGGCTCAATTGTGGTCATAAGTCGAGGACCACCTGCATAGCCACTGTATTTGACTCACCAAGATGAGATTGATGAGTAGTTCAGTGGGCTGATAGATTAAGGCAGTGGCTGGATTCCTGTGGGGCCATGGAATATTTTTGCTATTGGGATAGTCTATTTAAGTGAACATTAGCCTGTTGCATGATCATGCCAGTCATTGGATCCAGCTCGAGTGGCAGCTGAATCTGGTTACAGGGGCGATGCTGGAGGTTTCTGCAGCTGGGTTTCTCCTGCTGCAGAAAGGACCAACTGCCTAACTTCAGGGCAATGGGTCGGTCCAGTCTAGGCACTGGAGGAAGAATAACGCAGAGCTGGTCCCAACATTTACTGTACAAGGAAGTTCCTGTTTTGTTTTGTTTTGTTTTTTACATAGTAAGGCTGGTTTTGTTTTCAGATAACCTTGAATGTGCCTGGAAATAAGTTTGAAATTGAATAACTGAAGTAAAACATATAAAAAGCCATATTATACCACACATACATATTTCACCGATCCAGTATCTGATTTGTTTTTACATAAACAATGCTGTGCTTCAGTGGTTAGATAGCCTAGACTAGGGATAGGCAACCTTGGCTCTTTTATGACTTGTGGACTTCAACTCCCAGAATTCCTGAGCCAGCCATGCTGGCTCAGGAATTCTGGGAGTTGAAGTCTATGAATCATAAAAGAGCCAAGGTTGCCTACCCCTGGCCTAGACATTGGTATTTGAACATAGATCTTTTTAACATTTATATTTTACTGTGTTTTACTAATCTAGGTGAAATGTTAATATATTGCTAGTCCATGAATGATGTGCATGCTCTAAATAAATAAACATGCCACACCCATCAGTCTGAGAATTTAAGCAGTAGAATTATTTAGGGACAACAATCTCAACTTGTCACTAATCCATGATGGAAAACTGAAGTCAGGGCAGCATCTATACATTAGAACAGACATGTCTCTTTGAAAAGAGCAGAAGTAAGAACTCTTAACTGACAGCATGGACTTAAAATAAGGCTGTCCGTCATGCCTCTTCTGCAAAGCATGATCCAGGAAGCACGGATCAGCATTCCAAAGATATCAACTGCCCTCCTGGCCTCCAGATTACAAATATAAGGAAGGTGGCCTCTCACCAACCTGAGTTCTCATCTCCCAATTGCGTGGTATCGGTGTAGCAACTGGCCAGACTGCGCTGAAACAAGCCTGCACGTCACCATGGGGCTTTCCCAATTTAGTGCAACCCATTTGCTTTATATGACCTGCTAAGCTTCTGATAATACAACACTTGCAGAAATCAGTCTGCAAGGGGTGTTTTATGCAAGAAGTTGTGGTGAGCTGCCAGTGTGGCTGGTGAACTAGATTAATCCATTTCTAAACTCTGATCTTCCTAGCTCAGCGGATAGTTGGCGCTCCTGCCTCACTAGAAGGCAAGCTGCAGAAGCAGGAGGTATTCGACTACCTTAGCCTGGGCAAATAGAACATTTATTACCCATTCTTGGTCCTCCTGATTAAGGAAAGTGGCTTACATTTCATGCATGCTTGCACTGTGCTGTTTTCCATCACAAATCAAGCCAGGATAGGGAGTCCTGAAGATGGTAAAGCTGCAGGTCAATGCATGGCCCTTCTTGACCAGCATAAAAGCAAGAAATAGGTTGTAGTTATTGATAGGGTTGTACCTTAATGCAGGGACGGAGAACTATGGCCCTTTTATGACTTGTGGACTTCAACTCCCAGAATTCCTACGCCAGCCAGTTCTGGGAGTTGAAATCCACAAGTCATGAAGGGGCCATAGTTCCCCACCTCTGCCTTAATGACTACAAAAACATCCAGCTGAATTAAGAACTGGAAGCAATGGGCTGGAATGATAGACATTTGTGCTCTCAAACCTCTTAAATGCCTTTGAAGTATCTCCCAACTATACTGTCTCTTGTTTTCCCTTCAAGGTCTCAGTGAGAAGAAATGTTCCATCAATCTCAGATGGCTTTCTTCAAGATCAACCTGAAGACTGGGCATCTGCTTTCTCAGAGGTATTTCTCAGGCTTCTCCCTGATCAAAACAGAGCAATAGGTAGCATAATTTCCATGTGGACAGTTATATAACTCTAAAATGCTTCGTTTTTCTTGCTTTCTGCTCCCACGTTTTAGGTCAAAACTGGAACTCCCTCCACATGGCAAATAGTCTTTCACATAGGCTCTGAGGAGAGGTCGATGCTGGTTGAAGAAGCTCAAGCTGCAGGTTACGGGATTAACACGACAGACACCAGGATTGTGTTGAGAGCACCCTACAATGCATCTCAAGCTCAGAAAGTGGAAGTGAGCTCACTTTAATTTTCAGAACATTGGAAGATGCAGGGGAGAAGGCAATGCCAAGAATCCATGCATTCAGTAATGTCGTTTAGCTAAAATAACCATAGCTTATGGGAAGAGGTGCTCATTTCTGCCCTTCTCCATTAGTACGGGTAGGCACATGGGATTGGTGCCTTCAATCTAGAGAACTTAGGGACATCTCTGATCCTCTACCCACCTATCTGTCTATACCCCAGGAATATGTGCTCTTTTTAAAAAAATGTAATTTCATCCAATATGATTCATATACAGAGATATAGTTTATTTCATGTCCTGAAGATCTGGCAATTTCACACTTGGGCAAAATAAAAAGTTGGAGACTTCTTGCTACTATTTCAGATCAGTGGGATCCCTTTTTCTTCTGTGAGATCCAGTACCTACTACAAGCAGCGCTGGATGCTCTACATTGTTGACACTGCTGTAGCCTGCCCTATAGGTGAGTAAACAGAGTAATGATCTCCAGGCTATGGATCCCTGGCCTAATCTCTGAAGGCTTAGGTTTCCCTCCTTATAGCGTTAAGCCTTAACCTGTACTATCTTTTTCTCTTCTACCCTATTACTCCCTACCTAGATGGTGTAACCTACACCGAAGAAACAATCACTTGGGCAATCCCAAAGCAGGTTTCTCCTCTTCTAATTGGAGCTGGTACATTCAAAGAATTGCACATAGAGATGGGTGTTGACCTATACAAACTGTCAACCCAGGATATAAAGAGCCGAGGTTACATGCTGGCCAGTAACAAGGAAGCCATTATAATAAAGATACCCATTGGTGCACTGGGTGGTAACTTCAAGGTAGGGATGGGAAACCTTTTGGATATTAAAAGCTACCGTAGATGATGGTATGTTACAGTGGGGAAGGGGTTGTATGTACTGATGAGTCAGGTGTTCTGGTGCGAGTTTTTAAATTTTCTCTTCATTTTTATTAAGCCCATTATGATACAATACAGTTCTCATCGGTTTCCTGATCCACAATAATGGGGAAAAGCACTTTTTTTTTTAAAGAGGCTGTGAAAAATCTTTGGGTGCCATATCAGTTTCTTAAGGATGCAAGCTGATCATCTCTAGTCCAGCATAAAGAAGGGCATGTTCCAAGTGTTTGTTTATTTTTCAAATTGTGAATTGCCCATCTCCCTCAGAGAGAGGCTGGCGAACTCCTACTCTCACAAGCCTTAGACATCAGGGTCAATGCTGAGAGGTGATGGAGGGTGTAGTTTTAACAAAATTTGAAAGGCCGCATTTTGCCCATTTCTGATATATTATTTGAAGTGGAGAGAAGAAAAATAAATGGTTGACCGCAGTTCAGCTTCTACTTTTGAATGGTAGGCTGCATGAAATGTCAGACTGAGGGCAACATCAGGAAGAGAACAAACTGGATTTAAAAGGGGCTCCCCATTTTAACACACAATTTGTCTTGTCTTGATGTATGACCACTAAAGCAATGATTACTAGCTGATCTTGCCTTCCAGAGCCACGTGGTTGATAGAAAATTGATGATCACCTACAGAATCAATGCCTTTGTGGAACATTTGTGGGAAGATGACAAGAGAGGTATTACGAAGCATCTCATATTGAAGAAGATCAGCACACCTTTGCAGCATGCACCCATCAGGATTACAGACTGTGAGTTGGATTTTTTTTAAATAAGAAATTGGCAAAGGACAGTAGAAAGATGCCTTTTTTATAGCCTTCTGTAGAAGATTTTATCTTCTTCAGATAACATTGTATAAAGGCTTCTATTGGTGGAATGTTCTCTATTGCCCCCTAGTGGTTGGCAAGCTACCTAGATATGTGGGCACACTTAAGTTACGGAGGATCTATTTGACTTTTAAAAATACTTTAGTAGATTAATGATCTAACATTTAGATGGTCATTTAAGCAGGACCTGTTGTCTATCACCCCTAATATTGTTTCACCTATAGATTCTTTAGTTTACCACAAGCTGTTTACTCAGAGGGATAGGTTCAAAAAATATAAACGCTGCTGTAAAATATATATCTGAAGAAGGCAGTGGCAAACAACTTCTTTAATGTAGTGTTGCCAAGAAAACCTGCATGGGTGTGTCTGTGAAGTCATTGGGAGTTGCTTCAAGGGGATTTTATATTACTGCAGAGCACAGCTTTAGGCAACCACACCACCAGCTTCATTTCCTTAAGTGCCGGAGCTCAGTTAGACATTTACAAAAACATGTTGTGACAAATGCTGCCATCTTATGCTTCAGTAACAAGGGGCAGAGAAATGGGACAGAAAACAAGGGTCTTTTGATTAACTTGCAAAGAGATTAACTTCTTAGAGGCAGGGGTGGAATCCAGGACATTGTGTCCAGGGTCCCCCAACAAACCTGGTTGCACCATTCTTGATGTGTTGTTTGTGTATATATATAGAGAGAAAGGAATGTGCAATATAGTGTTTGTATGTGTGTGTGTGTGTGTGTGTGTGTGTATATATATATATATATATATACACACACACATACATGTTGACTAGCATAAAATGCACGAACACCAGAAAATTTATAAAACTATAAAATTTATAAAACTATAAAAGTTTTAATAAGATAAAATACCAAGCTTTCACTGGCTACTGCCAGCATCATCAGGGTAACTTCCATCGACTGGAAGTTACCCTGACGATGCTGACAGTAGCCAGCGAAAGCTTGGTATTTTATCTTATTAAAATTTTTATAGTTTTATAAATTTCCTGGTATTCATGCATTTTATGCTAGTCAACATGAATTTACCCAGGAATCACCTTTTTGTTTTTAGTATTCTTAATAATATATATATATATATATGTATGTATGTATGTATGTATGTATGTATGTATGTATGTATGTATGTGTAGAGAGAGAGAAAATCTGAACTCAAAAATTCGACTTCACTGGGGCTTAGCATGTCTATTTGCAGCCTTTTGAAGAGCAGATGGCAAAGGAAGAGAAAAAGACCACTTTTGACAGGGTTGCCCCGGGGCCTGGAAAATGGGTATTGGGAAGTGGCCTGTGAATTGTTCATTCCTAATGTACACTACTTCATTCCTATTATCTTAGCTTTTTTTTTAAAAAAAAAAATCTTAACAGAAATGTAACCAATTACTGCTGCTGGACAAGGGACACTCCTAAACATTGGAAGATCTTTCCAGTGGATCCCAATCCTATTTCCTGCTCACTACTGATAAGGACCACACTGGCTGGTGATGCTTTGCTTCGCATCATGCCAACTTTCCAACTGATTTATTTGAAAGCTTATCCAGTGCTATCCACATTAAATAGGGTAGGGGAGTCTGATGGACATCAAGAGGTATCTCACTGAGTGCACTGGTGCCCATGGGCAGCATACTGGCTATTCAAATCTTAGAATCAGCAAAAGGGGCTTATTCACAGAGCAGCTGGAGGAAAAGACGAGAGGGAACTTCAAGCCCAAAAGCAGACTTCTCCTTAAAATGGTTTTCTTCCCCCTGCAGATACAAAGATCAATCTCAAGCTCTTCAATGCAACAGTTGGCTCCTTCTTGCCAGATGTAGACCTGATTGGTGTGACAGTGGGTCATTTGGGGCCCTTGCCATTGCCTGAGGCTGAGAAATGGGGCTGTAAGGTCATTGAAATCAAATACCCCAACGGCAGCAAAGATTATCTTGTGCAGATTTCTTTTGATAGTCCTGGAGTTGAGAAGGAGGTATGAACCGATATCAATTTAAGCCTTTTCTGCAGGTGTTACAGTGGAATAGCTTATCATTAGCAGCAGAGCACTGACAACGCAACTGCTGATGATCCTTTTAATCCCAATGTAATAACTCAACCAAAGCTGAATTATTATGTGGAGTGGCTTGGAACTTTTTATTTTTCCAGATAACTGTGTTTCATTTTGTGTGCCTATAATTAGCACACATGCACTACTTCAGATTCTCCCTTCTATATTGGAGGGATGTCACTAACTCCATGAAATTACGTTCTTTGTTGAGTATCAATAGATATTTGGATCATCTATTCCTGAGAATTCCTGGGAATTTTTAATCTGGAGATGGGTGATCCTCCCTTAGTTTTCAGGAGAATTTTAGGCGATTTGAATGTCTTTCTCTTCCCTTCCTAGTGCAAAACGAACATGGTTGGTCAAAGGCTGGGTAAAAGTTAGATGACTGTATTTGCAGAGAAATAATTGGTGAGGTAGGTTTAGAACACACTTTTATCATGTTGTATAAAAGAGGGAGCCAAGATTCAAGCTGTAGGGTATCTGGGGTAGGGTTACGACAGTGTTTCAATGTGCTACACATGTAAACAAGTTTTGCAATTTAAGTTTTCCAAGATGGAGTCAAAATCAGTCTTCCGTGATCTTGGTTTTCTCCAAATATGTGGTCTTCTGCTCCCAGAATTCTTAATAATGGCCATGCTGACTGAAAAATTGTAAGAGCTGAAGTCCACATATCTAGAGATTGCTTGGCTGGATAAGGCTGCTCTAAACAGTTTGCAACCATCTGTATGCAGTCCATTTATCTATGTAAATTGTTAGATATTGTGTAGATTTTAACTGAGAATTACAAAAAAATGTATTTTGTAATCCGTAAAATTCACCCATCTAAATAGACTGAATGTAACCAATACTAAGCCCAGATTTCCTTTTAATAATTACACTGTTAGTGACAATGTAGAAATTAATACCTTCCTTTTTAACTTTTCTCAGTATGTGCCAGAACACTTTCGAAATTATACTACCAACCCTGTATTGCAATTCAGTGTGATTCCTCAGGCAGAAATCTTTGAAGTCCCAATCCCTCTGTCTGCCTTGGTGAGCGATGCAGGTGAGTTGATTGGAGCTAATATTTTCTGCCTCTTTCCATTATGGATATCAGGGAAAAAAATGGGTAGAAGCTAGAAGATACATCCTCAGGTAGTAGACATTTCCACTGCAATTGAGAAGGTAGGCTATGGATCCAGAAGATGTTACCGTATATGCCGGCGTATAAGACGACTTCCGCAAGCGCTAAACTCGGCACCAAAGACGGGGGTCGTCTTATACGCCGAGTCGTCTTATATGCCGGAAATACTGGTAGTTTCCGGCGTATAAGACGACGTTCTAGGAATGTGGCTCGGCGACAAAGACGGGGGTCGTCTTATACGCCGGGTCGCCTAATACGCCGGCATATACGGTACTGTAAAGTTGTTAGAAACAATTATTGATATCTTAATGCTTTTTAATAGGGCAGTTAAACAGAGGCACCATGATGTAGCTGGTATAATTTATATAATGAACTATCAAGTAGGTGCTCATGCCATGCTGTGAAACGAAGCAGTCAGAAATGTTAATGGGAAATGCTTGTGGATTGTGAGTGGGAAAATAAAAGGACAGGCACCCATCTTGTTTCCTCTTCTCTCCAGTGCTGCCCCAAGCAGAAGGATTCTGTGATAACGAAGCCCTCTATTTAGTGGTGAAACGTGGCAACGTGGACCAGAATTGGATGCCCTTTGTGGGAAACACACCCTTAACCCAAGAGATGGCACGGACCCTTGAATATGGATTGCAGGACAATCAAACTCATTTGGCCCTGAGAGTGCCGAAGCTTGCCACTCATGTGTTCCTTGAAGTATGACAAACCTTGATCTGGGCAGCCTTCTATGTCAGAATGTAAAGGGGTGCCTTTTGGGATGTAGTGGGGACTGTGAGTAAATATTGTGAAAAAGCCTCCCAGAGCCTGCAGGCACAGGTATGCGTTGGACTCCCCCTTGCTGCCTTCAGCTTCAACACTCTGGGTGACAAACATCTGGGTGACACTAGAAGGCAGCAAAGAGTTAGTTTTCAATGTCTCTGCACTGCCATCTTGTGATCATCTGGATTTCTCCAGCCCAAGCATGAGCCATGATGGAAGACTAGCCCAGAATAAAATAGAAGAGTGAGCAAGTGAAGGGATCACCCACTTGCCACTGTGGCTGCTATTACCTTTTCTCCTGATGTTCCTGAGTCAGCGATTGCCTCATCAGTAAGAGCATGATATTGTGGTGGCTAACCTTGGAAATTGTTCATGGCTTCCCCACAATCAATGCTGCTCATTCACTTCCTCTTCTCCCTCCTCCTACCTGTCTGTAAGGAACACAAGGAGAAAAAATAACCACACCGTAATCTGGACTGCAGAAACTCCAGGGAACCACTGAATGGCAGGAAATAGGAGGATTCTTTGCCATATCTAAGAGTCTTGCTTTGGGGGTAGAGAACATTACTTATGCTTTGGGGGGGTGGCAATCTGTTACCATGAATTCTTGCTTCCTGGAAACAAGCCTGTAGTTGACTTCCTTTGCTTCTGTGAGTAAGCGGCCGGCTTGCTTATTTAGAAGCCAACATCAAAACCCTCTTTGCTTCAGCAGCAGGTTCTATTCCTTCTCTTCCACCATGATCTACTCTAATCTTCATGCTATTTCAAAAGCAGTCCTTGCTTTCTGTATAATGAATGGGGAAAAAAGAATTTTCCCGGGAGCCATCTCAGACGCAAAGGTTCATAAATTGCTGGGGTTAAGTAAGAGCTGCATTTGATCTCTGAACAGCAAGCCAGGAGCCAGGAGAAAACCTAAAATAAAATACCCTGAAAATCTAACTTTAAATTGTACTTTGTGATATAATCCCCTTTCTATGATTTGAAAATCTACAATTTGCTAACCAGTTTCAGAGTGCCAGGAGTAGCATAAGATGTCCTGAGCATCACCTCTGATCTCAGGCCTACTTACCAGCTATAAGCAGCATCAGTAGAAGGAGGCAGTACTTGTAATTCTTGAGCTCCGTTGACTGGCTCCTAGATAGATTTTTTTGGTTTAACCCCAGCAAGTCTATGATGTTCTCAATCTATGGCTTAGAATCTTAGGGTGCCTCCACTCAGCTGTCATTTTCATCACTCAAACCCTCAGTCATGTTTTTGCTTCTGATAAGTGTATCCACCATGCTGTTGAGTAAGCTTGCTGTATAGATCAGCGTATCTTCCAGCTGTTCAATGGGGTATATTAATCTCTCTCTCTCCCTCTGTAACATGTTTCAAGGGTTTAATGTCTATTTCCCTATTTCTTCAGAAAGACTGAGGTAAAAATGAAGGTACCTAGAAAACAAATAATGATTGTGGGATCTTTGGTTGGGACTGAAGTTGAGGCCCATCAGCACTGGCTAACAAAGGAAGCCTTCGTGTCACTAATCTACTCTCTTTGTATCCTAGGAAATAAACTCCTTTGGGATTGTGACCACCTTCCAGTTGCAATTTAAGGACCATCTCAGTCAAACTGAAATGATTGAATTTACCATATCCTGCAGCTTTTCTCCAAAAGATCTAATTGGTAAATGACATTCCTGGGTTGGTTAGATGTCTGAGGGATGTTGATCCTGATATCCTTCCAGATAACATTAAATCCATTTGGGAAGTAGTCAACCAGATTTCAAAATGTCACTTTCAATCTATTTAATCTAGATTAATAAATTCACTGTAAAGGCACTCACATATTTAGTGGCATATCATTCATGTCTCTTTCCTCAAAAAAACTATATATTTGGGTTGAAGGAGCTTTATTTCTCATAGATTCTTGGCTCCTTTGTCTCAAATACATTCTAGGAAAACTATATTGTATAGAACTTTATATAACACAGAGAAGATATTCTAAGGTGCTAAGAAAATATTTTGGCTTTCTACCAGTTTAAAAATTAAAGTGGCTTGCAACTAAACATTGGTGTTGGAATCACCATTGTTTTACTGATATTTCATTAGCAACACACAGAGGTCTCCCCTATCTGAGTTAGTGCTCTGCACCTATCCTTAGGGTTTACGGGAAACGACTGTCATGAATTTGACTTTCCCCATTAGTGACCTGTATCCTGTCTCTCATCTCTGTTTTAAGTGTCTGCAGCCACTCAGCTTCTCTCCAAAACTTCTTTCCTTCCTTAGATTTTTATCCACCGTTATTATTTTATAAGTAACTCAAGACAGCGAACATAGTTAATATTTGTCCTATTTTCCCCACAACAAAAACCCTATGAGGTGAATTGGGTTGAGAGTGAACAGCCCAAAGTCATCCAGTCAGCTTTCATGCTTAAAAATTCAGTTACTTGATTTCTAAGGCCAGCACCTTAACCATTACATCAAACTGACCTTTCCTTCTTCCCTCCCTCCCTCCCTTTCACATTACAGATAAAAATAAAAGCACATTTGAAACAGAGATCATCTCTGATAGTGACCCCCATGGGAGAATAAGGGGGAAATATTAATGCTGATAGACAGCAAGGCTTTTCCCCTCATGCACTGGGGATGAAGGCAGTGACTTGGGGGAGAATGTTGTTGAATGATTGTGCCCAATGGAAATTTAGATGGGGATACAGTCACAGTTCTATTCCACAATCTTCGATAGCATCTTCATCTTTTTATGAAAAGGATCAATGTTAATGCAGCCTCCAGAGAGGGTTGCAATGCACTCCATTCTTCTTCTTGTTGTAATTTCCTTCCCTCTCTCTCTTTCTCTTTCTCCCTTGCCCCCCCCCCCTCGGTGTGGCTTTAATGTGGACTATGCGGGAATTATAGGGAAAGTGATTGTGGTAGCTCTGCTTCCTTGCTCTTCAATTGTGTAGCTTTGTTACACTTTTTATACTTCTTTTTTTTTGCTTTTTTTTAAAAGAAAGGCATTGACCTCCTGTATGAAAGATGGGAGGTTAATAAATAAATGAGGGAGAGAGAAAAGGGTAAAAATGATGCCCACTACCGAGGGAGGGGGTGACCTATGCTGTAAATTATCTTCAACAATCAAAATGTGAAAATATATTTCTTTGGGAATGGAAGGCTGGTATGAAGGTGTTGGAGTGAATGGGCACACAAGAGTGCCAGTTAACATGGAATGAGAGCTGCAATGTTTGCTTGTGGCTGGCTGTGAAAAAACTATGACCAACACTAAGAGCTGATTGTCTGGAGGCATCTATGGTGGCATCAATGATGCGGCTCTGCTCGAGGCAAGGGTTGACAGTTGGGATACTGGGATTAGCAAGGAAGGAATCTTTACCTCCTGAACTTCCTGGAATAAAATGTGTCTCTTGCAGACTGTCAGCCTAATGGCACAATTGTAGTCTCTGCTCGGACGTTGGTTGGCATGCCAGTCTTGGACCTCTCCAATTTAGTGCTGAGAGATAAACGCTGTAAACCAGCTTCTGTGACAAAAGCAGAAGCAGTCTTCCTCTTCAGTGTAAACTCTTGTGGCACAACACGCAAGGTGAGAGATTACTGGGGGAAGGTGTCCCCCCTCTTCAGGAGGGTCTGGAAAAGATGCTGTAAAGTAGAATAGGATATATCTACTAACCTTCTCCCAGTCTGCCTATATTCTGACTGTGTTGGGTTGATTTTCCCAATCATTCCCAATGGGAAAGCCAGGTTGGGAAAACAGGTTTACATCCACCCAATAGGACAAGCATCAACTTTTGTGCTCTTAATAAACTGCTTTATAAATGACAGCTAGAGGAAAAGCTAGGAACTATATTTCTACTATGGTACTGGATCTTTCCTACGTCACGTGGGGTGATAAAGGGGAAGAGGGAAGGGTCCAACCTGGGTCTTTGACCAACTTGAAGAAAAGGCAGGGATCCAATTTCTAAAATTGGCCAAGCTTTGGAATGTTTCATTCCATTCTTCTTTACAGTTTGAAAACACCATCATGACTTATGAAAATGAGGTCCTGTATTTCCTCCCAGGCCAAGCAACACCTGTTTACCAGTGAGTATTTGTGACTTGAGAATGAAGGACAAACGTAAAGCCAACTTGGCCCTGCCTTGTGTGGTTTCCAAGTGTGCTGAGGTGGCAGTTCTCAGAATTCCTAGGTTGGGGAGAGCTTGAGTTAAAGCACTGTGTGAGGAGGAATCCTTTGCCAATCATGCTTCAGGAAGAATTTTTTTGACACCCACTATTCTAAAATGCCCAGAGATTAAAAATGGGGTACAATAGTATGGGGCGATTTGGAGCCCATCTGGAGAGACTCTGCAGACATGGGTCTCCAACAAAGCCAACTAAAGCTTCTCTGAATTTCATATGCGCATCAACTTCTTCCCCAAAAGTGTGAAATGAGAGAAGCTAAACTTTGGAGCTCTTAGTGAACTTGGGTGAATAAAAGAAGACACTTTTGTTGGCAAATTCTGTCTTTTCAAGGTTGAAATGTGCTTGCCAGTACTTCATTGGAAATGCGCTGCTGCTCCAGTATAGCCCTGCACAAGCACCATCGCCAAGCATACTGCCTGGGACTGGGCAACTGGAACTTGCCCTTAAACTGGCCAGAGGTAATTTCAAAGCAGAGGGGTATGGCATATCTATGACCGTAATCAATAAAAATATGGTACTCTTATTTTATCCTGTCAGCATGAGAAACACAGTTTCTAACTTAGATTTTGCACTAATTTGAAGACAGGGATAGTCTTAGAGGTTTTCCTGCTGGATGGAGGAAGAATGCAACTAAAGAAGGCAACAGTTATTTGTATTTTTGAACAAACATTTGTATTTACCTTTTAAAAATCCAACTTTAAAAAGAATGGAATATCTCATCAAACCATTTTTAAATATTGTAAGCTTTATAATAAACTGGGTCCTACAGGGTTTCTCATTTTATGTGGGTTTTAACCTCAACTCTCTATGTGAGCATTCATCAATTTCCACTACTATCTTGGCTTTGCTGGGAATTTTTATGTCATTAGGAAACTGTGAATTTGAGTCCTGAAACTTGGGCTGTTTAGACTTGAATTAACTTTGCATGTCACGTTTGTCAGTTGAGGGAGCATACCAGGTCATCCAGAACAGGGTTCAGTTTTATTGTTTTATTTTTCTGTTCCTCCTCCTCCCAATCTAAGCATGTGGCAGCAGCCAAGAACATCTCTTGGCTGTATTTTAGGTTAACAATAAACAATTAGTTTTGATCTAATTGGCATCACTAGCATGGCATGAGTTGTAGAAGAACATCTTTTAGTCTTGTCACAAAATCTTTAATGGGAGACGGAGTAACCAGCCTGATAATACACATTTTTGCAACTCCTACTGTTTAATTATATTAATAGACTGTTAGCAATTTTTATAAAAACAAATTATATATATTTATATTTTTTAAAAATTCAACTTAAACAATTTAATCAATGATGAAATCATTCCGATCCCAGTTTTCTCAGTAATGATAGCAATAGCTTTGACTCCAGAGATGCCTTTGCCTCCACTCCAGTTGTCTGATCTGGGTTTAAAATGTCAGTGTCCTCTTGCATTGTGCTAATACAGTTCTTAGGCTAATAAGCAGATCAGAATAGCATACATAATCCTGGTTTAGACTGGTGATGAAGACTGATTCTTAAATTGAATAAATTATTTTTGGATCCTAGGCTCCTAATAATGTCTTCTTTTGCCCATCTCACTTTTCTGTAGATCAGTCCTACAGAGATTTCTATCATCAGTCCGAATATCCAGTAAGTCGTTACCTGCGAGAGCCCCTGTTTTTCCAGGTAGAGCTCCTTCACAGTGAAGATCCACAGCTTGAGTTGTTTCTGGAGGACTGCTGGGCTACTGCAAAATCTGACAGGACCAGTTTTCCACAGTGGCACATAGTGGTTGACAGGTACCAATTTTAAATGTGGATTGGAGGTTGTTTGCCACTTATATGAAAAGTTGAACACTATGAGTAAAGTTGTTGCAGAAGGCAGTTTGACAAGGCCTGCATAGAAAGTGACTTGGTTATGCTAGGGAATGAAAGAGAATGAATACAAACTTTCCAAGACAGAATAAACCATAACACTTTGTACCAGCTGCAGAAATTTCTATCTTATGTTCAGTGATTCAATCATCTAAAAACTGAAAGACTCATTGGCAATTCTTGCTATAAGCTCAAAAGTAAAGACAGAGCTTGATGGTTATTTTCTAGAGCCTTAATATTGTATCATCTAGCATCTCTAATTTATCAATCAGATGCAAGGGCTTTCTTTGAGGTTGACGTACTGATAATGGTTGCCCTAATGTAATTTCATAGCATAATCTAGTTAAGTGGACCTTTCTGATCTTTGATGGCAACTTGGCACAGTCTGAATCTCATAGCTATACTTTTGTAGATATATATAATTTATTTTTATTTTATATGCTAGTTGTGAGAATACAGCAGATTCACATCAGACCATATTCCATGATGTCCCCAGCACTTCTGTCCCATTCCCTACACACCTGAAGAGGTTTGAAGTGAAAATGTTTACATTTGTGGTGAATAGTCAAGCTGTTCAAGGAGAGGTAAGGTTGCCTTTATGGGTCAATTTAGGTAATTTTTGACGTATTTCATGATCTTACATTTGATAAGGTGGTCCTACCCTGGATAAGGTTCTTCTACAACATTCCGCCTTGATAGCATTGTTGTCTTTATTTCCCTATCAAAGATATTGTATATCAGCAATATAGTTTTTCTAAGTCATGAACTTTTACAAGAATATTGCTGCAATAGTGTGTTAATGGTGGAATACTTCAGTTTTATTTTAAAATCAGTTGAATTCAGTTGTTCCCAAGGGATAAGTCTTTTATGTATGTTGCTATCTCCTTTAGTAACATGCTTTCAAACTATCTTGTGATGCCTGATGATTTTTGTCTGTTGTTCAGATCTACATCCACTGTAGTGCAGTAATCTGTGATTCCACCCAGCCATCTTCTGATGCCCTTTGCACCAGGCTTTGCATTCCCAGAAGGCAAAGAGCAGGTAAGGGATTAGAATACAAATGACTTGGATTGCTGTGCGCTTTGGATTGCAAAACACTCTGTTCTCTACTACAACCTTACCTAACTTCTTACCTCCTAGATGAGTTGGACAACTGATGTAGTCACTGAGTTCATTGGCATGCTGCTTCAGTAGCCTGATTGGAAGCATTTTCGTTGAGAATGGTTTTCCTTGTGTCCAATGCTTTTGTCTATAAACTTTCCATTTTTTTTAAAGAATTGGCTATCAGAAACTATGTTCTGAAGCAAACGCTCACTCTCAAAATGTGCACAGTTGCATCTTTTGTCATGTAAGTTAATGTCTTCTTGAGCCTACTCTGTTCATTGCTTCCCTGTAATGTCAGAGGCCAGCCTGTGCGATGGTCAGAGAAAGGTGATTAGTTTGAAATCTGGTTTGTGGAAAATAAAAATGCACACATTAGGCAGCACCTAGAGAGACAGTTCTTATAGTTAAAAAAACCCTAATGTTTTATGTCAGGGCTTTTCAACCGGTGGTACACATACCACCAATAGTACTTTACCACCTGGCAGGTGGTATGCGAAGTGGTAGCGGGGTGGACAGGAATGAGTTGAAGTGGCAGCAGTGCTGCACAAGCCCAAGGGAGAAACAGCTGGAGCTACAGGGCTGTTGGGGCTCTACAGAGGTGCCAGGATCAGCGCTGGGCCCCAGCTGATCGGCGCTTCTGGGAAAGGAGGATATAAAAGGAGGTGGTTTTAGCGGGAAAGGGCCAGTGAGGGGCTGCCCCGCCCCATCCCCCGGGCACATGAAGCGGCGGCAAGCACCCAGCATCCCTGCTGACCATCCCTGCTGAGCACTGATAACGGAAAAAGGTAGAAGCACTTCCCTTCCCCCCCCCGGGACACCAGCAGTCACGCGCTTGCTTTCTCTGTGCACCCCCAGGGGTGGGGCAGAGAGGGGAGGATGGCTCGCTGGCTCCAGAGCTCCCTGTGGATCTAAGGCTGAGCGCATTCCAGCTTTGATGGTCCCCACCGGTAGATCAGCGCCACGCCTGCTCGCTGACCGCCTCAAAGTCACCAGGCTTTCCCTTTCATCGGGACCGCCCCTCCCTGCATGGGACGGCTATGGCCGGCGGCAGCATGTCCACCGGCAGCGCTGGCAATCTCTCCCCCTCCCGTCATCCCTTCCTGAGCGCGGAGGAAGAGAAGCAGGGGAGGAAGGAAGGAGTGAGCTGGGAAAGAGACTGCTTTCTGAGCGCTTCACAGGTTTGGTTTTTTAAGCTGCCAGAGACTCCGCGCAGGCTTCCCATTTTGACCCCTTCCCCCCCCCCATTGCCTTTCCCTCCTTCAATCTGATCATGTAAAAAGATACATTTCAGTGTAGCTAATGATGTAAAATCAGTTGCAATATGTTCTGAATTATACAACTAGCATAAGTATGATAACATGTTTCTGATTAGAAACATATGGCTCTGAAGATGAAAAGGCTAACGTTTTAAAATTCTTCCTAGGCCGGAGCACTGATTCCTCGAATGATATCCAGGGATACGTTTCATCTGGAGCCATTGTGATGGGAAGGAGGAATGATTCCTAAACATCTTATAAAAAGACTGGTGGCAAGATGTCGTTGCTGAAGTATTTATTTCTAAGAGTTGCAGCTGTGTATTCTGTAATAAAAAGCCTACAATGGGTCTATTTGGGTATCTTTGTGTAAATTTCTAGAGCAGTTTTATTCAAACTTTTAGGGATAGTGGGCATACTTGGAACTTTTAGGGTTCTGAGGTCATAGAATATTGGTCGCGAAAATACTTTTGTAACGCTTAGTCACAAAATGCTCATTTTACGGAAAGGCAAACTAGAGAGGTTACAAAATCTGAATCCATCATAGAGGTGAGGATCTGATCTTGAGTACATTCCAAAAACTCCTTTGCTTTAATGCTTCTTGGTTTCCATGAAATGAAGTATCTGTCAAACATGCTCACTTAACTGAGAAAACCCATCCTAAGTGATGTAGGCCCAGCAACAGAAATTATTGTTTGCTACACAGGGTGTGCACATGTAACACTTCATAAATAAATCATTTCTAGTCTGCTTCAAGTTAGTATTTTTTAAGTGTTAACAAATGCCTAGATTATTCAACAGCGCTTAATGTTGCTCTACATATGGTAAACTAATCATGACACTGCAGTCAGCTTCATTTACTGTAGATCATAAACAGAAGGTTGAGCCTTCAGTAGTTCTGCAGTATAAATGTGCCTTACATATTAAATAAAAGTTATTTTCAATGTTCTAGAATCTGGATTCAGCCATAATCTAGCCCTGCCTTTGGTTCCTTATAAATTGTACCTGTAAATTGAAGAACCTCTGAAGGATATAAAAGTGCCCTTACCTTATTATCATATACAGTATATATTATGTATATTTGGAACAAATGACTAGGAAAGCATTTTAAATTGACCACTGAAAAATATAGACAAAGGAATCAAATATTCACAAAGACTAGCAAGATACTTTGGTAGGAAAGTTGTTAAGTGGCAAGGGAACCAAATTTTGAAGAGAAGAAAAAATAGCACAATTACCTGGCAGGCTTATTATCTAGCTGAAGTAATCTTTACAACTGTACCATAGAGAGGAAATTGGAATGTGGCTCAAACCTAAGAACGTAAAAAAAAAAATCAATATGCTCTGAAAGAGTTGCTAGTTGACAATAGAAGCAATATTTCATCAAGAAATGTTCCAACTGACTTTTAAAAGCAATACTATAGTGCTATCATGTTTTAGATCTACATGTTTCATTTTTATTAGTCATTGCATAGCACATTTCTGCTTTGTTATAGTGATCATTTTAGAAAAACTCTGTGCCTGCTAAAAGATGCATGAGTGTTTTTACAAATTTCCCAATTAAAGAAAACTTTTTAGAATTATTAAAAACACCTAGCATTCTGACCTGATCAATTTAATTTTATCTTGCCACTGTTCTCTTGACATGCAAGACTGGTGCTTGGGTAGAAAATGGAATGTGCATCCTACACAATGCTCAAGTAGCCTTTAGAGGTTTTATAACCCTATTAATCCCAACTAAGTATGATAAAGGCTCCTATGCCTCATATAGAGGGCAGTGGTTAGAATGCAGTATTGCAGGCTAATCCTGACTGCCAATTGCCAGCAGTTCGATCCTGACCGGCTCCTAGTTGCGTCAGCCTTCCATCCTTCTGAGGTTTGTAAACTGAGGACCCAGATTATTGGGGGCAATAGGCTGACTCTGTAAACTGATTAGATAGGGCTGTAAAGAACTGTAAAGCAGTATGTATAGTAAGTCTAAATACTATTGCTATTGTTTATGCCTGGGTTATCTAAATACTAGTCACTTCAATTGTATTCAGGCCCTTAAATTGTTTCATAAATAAGCTTCTACATGAACCATTCACCAGCTTGCTGTTCTACAAATGGGCCACACTTTATCTTTCAGAATGATCCAGCTATTATAGGTTTTGACTGTCTTGTCTGGGTGTTATGTCAATTGAAGACGTAATCCAGGCTTTCCAGTTATAAAACAAGTATGCTTAATGTGGGAGAAATCAAAAATGATTTCCAACTTTTAACGAAGCAGGATTTCTCAGTACTCCTCAACCAATGAAAGAGAATTTTTGCTACATTGCCTGATATTTATTTGAAAAAAATGATCCATATTATAGATTGCTTGTGTCAAATAGCAACAATGGCGGTAAGATGCTGGGGAATTGCCAACATCATATTGTTGCTCTGTTGGACTGATAAAGATGCAGCACTCATTTACAAGTAAGTCATATAGCACATACTGTATATCCGTGTTCCCCTGAACCAATTTCTCTTTAACAAGGGCAGTAGTTGAGGAAGGTATATGTAGATTGAGAACAAATGGCTCAAACCCAGAACGTTCCAATTGCTTGACACATAATGCTGTTAACCATTTCAATCATTATTTCCTTTATAACGAACTAGTGGTTTCTAGCAAATAAGATGTTCCAAATCACAGATAGGAATACTGCGAATTCAACCATTTAAAATCAGATCATGAAAAAAACCTTTTGTTTAGACTGCCACTCTTCACTCATATCCGCTTAAAGTGGAACAGGTGCTTTTATGTGTATTACTGAAACTATATGGATTCAGGAAAAGGTGAGGTTATCAGGATTGCTTGTAGCCAGAATCCAAGACAAATTATGCTTCCCATTGGATTTTCTTCTTTCCGTTGTGTTCCAAATATGTCATTTTTAGAGTATTTACCCTATTTCTAACAGTAGGGATAAGAAATGCTCTTTGTCTTCATGGTGGCTATAAATAACTCCAAGAGTAACATACCATTCACTTGATTTTCTTGAAATGTACCCTCTAGTGAGAACTATCTTGTGACCCTGTCCTGGCAACTTTCATCTTTCTTGGCTACAAGCAAATGGCTCCCTTTCAACAGCAAATGTGTAAAGAGGCAAGAAGCAGAACCTCACTTATACTAAACATTGCTACAAATTTATTACAGATTTGTCTTTCAAGTACATTTTGAAAAGTTAACAACCACTTTTTAAACATGTGAATACAAATTAAACACAAAAATCATACATCCCGGTGGCAACGCAGTGAGTGGGGCTGGGGAGGGAAGAGAGGAGGCAGCAGCAGGAGTGAATGAGAGCAAAGAGACAGAAGCAACAGAGTAAGGTTCTTTGCACTTTGGAGCTGTGGCAGTGACTATTTCAGCCACAGGAGATCCAGAAAGCTGGCCCATAGCACCTCTGCTTACAAATGTAGATACGTTGCTAAGAAGGGGCCAATCTGTAAGACCCAATCTCCTGAGCAGACTGAAAGAAAGAGCTCCCTACTCCGCTATCAGGAAATTATTTTATTCAAAAATATTCAGAATACAGGGTAGAAAAAAAAGATAGAGGAGCCTGTGTCATTTTAATAAGATACCCCTCAAAATAAAATCTTAAATTAGATGGCTTTTTGATTGGTCTGTGTTTTCCTTGAGGAAAGGGACATGGTCCAAAGTAAGTCTGCTACACCCTGAACAGCAGAAAAGGCAACGAAGGAATCAATGTGTCTACCAAAGTAGGAGGTGCTAAGTGAATTGTTGACTGCTGTGCTGGACGCATTCCCTACCTCCCAAAGTGACTGACTTGTTTCACAAATCAATAATCCCTTCTGAACTAGGGGAAACTCTCTGGAACTAGATGTTCAGATTACTAAAGTAAGCTTTCACACTTTGCAGGAAGTCTTCCTTAAAAGAATTGCCAGGAACAATGTAGTGCCATGAACTACTAACAAAAGAGGCAAGACTGCTGTGAGCAAGCAGGCATAGAAGGACAAGGAGCTCTCCGACTGACCCATCAAAGACCAACCCCTTCTGACCTTCTGTCAGAAGGGCCAGACTTTGGTAATGGAAGGGGAAAATGCCACCCCTGCACAGTGATGGAAATAGCCTGGGACAGATTGAGAAACCCATCGCCATAGTTAGTTGCCATGCTCCAGAAGAACCCCTGCCCAGCTCTAGCAGGATTCCCCTCTGAAGAGACAATGCCAGTCCTGCCTTCAGCACAGTATCAGAAGGGAGGAAAGCCTGGAAGCTAACAGCTCAGTGACTTGGCTGGCAGGCGGGGAAGGCAGGCTGGGGAGGCTTTAGAGCAATTGGCATGAGGTCTTCTTGCGCCCACGTTTGGCTTGTAGGGCAGCTCGGGTTGCCATCTCAAACACTTCCCGGACTCCATCCTTTGTTTTGGCAGAACATTCCAGGTAGCCAAAAGCACTAATCCTGTTGGCCATATCCCTGCCCTCCTCTGGCTTCACCGGTTCCTAAATGAGAAAAAAGACAGTGAGGTCTCCTGGACTTCCTATCAAGGAAGGAAATAAGAAGTAAGTAGCACTCACAGCAAAAATCCAGCAATAAGAATTATGGGCTTCTAGAAATAACTTTCACCTTAGATAAGGATCTCTAGCAATTTAAATGAATAACTATTTGAGTTTTCTCTAACAGAATCCAAAGCTTTCCCATTCCAATGATAACAGAGTAGGTCCAGAAAGGGATGTTAAATTATTGACTTCACCTGCTTCATTTTGGCTAACTCCCGACGTGTATGTTCATCATTACGCAAATCCTTCTTGTTTCCTACCAGGATGATAGGCACATTGGGACAGAAGTGCTTGACCTCTGGAGTCCACTTCTCAGGGATGTTCTCTGTGTAGGAAAAGAACATAAATCAACTAACACCTTTTCATGAAAGGCTCCAATTCACCAAGCAGCTTGGTTATAAGACTATATTACAATTGCGACAGAAAATTTGTGAACCATTTACAACAATCTGTAATCCTGCAGTATTGCGACTTTAATAAGATCAAAGTATCTTATTCCTATTAATATATAAAGACATCTTGTTATGCTAACAACACATGGAAAAGTATTTTTACTCCAAAGTTATCAATTTCTGAGAAGCATTTGCCATTTAACTATTGCTTCAAAGAAATTTCAAGATCTTTCCTCTTCTTGGAAGATTACTGAAATCCTCAGAAAAGGAGGAAATTACAGCTTAAGTAACAGTATGGCTATGGAGAAATATAGTAAACAGCAAAATCATATCCTACTATATTGACAATTTTGCTCAATAGACACCATAAATATACTAGTGTTTCTGAACACTAATATAACATTAATATAAAGGAAAAGGAAAAAATGAGTAAATCTGTGGACTCCACTTTCTTCCCTGTACCAGGAATAAACAATCTGAGGATTTGGGGCAACAAACAATCCATTAAAAACCTGAATGCAGTTTCCAGCTTTGAAATATAAAGATTTGATAAATAAAGCAATATTTAATGTAACCAACAAATGAAGTATTATATACACAGGGGGCCATCAAATTAACTGTACTCAATTTTTAATTAAATAAAAAAGGAAGGAAGTTTCCTGGTCCAACCTACCATTTTCTGTGACTCCAAATTTTGGAGTGTGGATCTCAACACACTTTTTAGAAGGAGAATAGGATTCTTGGCCCTACCTCCCAATTTAAATATTCTTATTCTATACAAAATGGGAGATTAAAGACTCACCTAAACTGTCAGGGCTGTCAATGGAGAAGCACATGAGGATAACATCTGTATCTGGATAAGACAGAGGTCTCAGACGGTCATAATCTTCTTGTCCAGCTGTATCCCACAGGGCAAGTTCTACCTGTACAAGTACAAGTTGGCAAATTGTACAGACATGGTCTTAAAGAGTGCATTCTGAAATAATCTAATTACTTACATCATTACATCCTTAGAATGGTTCACTGAAACAGCTCAGAATTCAGTATTAACTGAATTCAACCAGGAAAAAAAATGTAGCTGTATTTTATTTTTTACCATAGTTCAATTCTTTTGCACTAATTTTAATTCCTATACTTAAGGAGATACAACAAACTGGATAAGGTAACCACACTGCATAGACCAATCAGAACAGAGGAATATATTTAATATCAGATGTCCATACTTGCATGGTCCTGTGCCCAAAGCAATAGGTAAAAGGTGGATTTATAACTTATGGCACATTGCAGCAGTCATTTTATGCATTCCAAAGCACACCCGACATAATTAAATAATTTATTTTTGCTTCTGCATATATGCAGAATACAAATGTATCTTACTATCATCCTTTTCCATCAGCTGCATTTTGAATTTCATACTCCTATAGAATTAAATGATTCCTGAAAATCAGCAAATTACCTGTTTTCCATCCACTTCAATGTCAGCCACATAGTTCTCAAACACAGTGGGGACATAGACTTCTGGGAATTGGTCCTTGCTGAAGACAATAAGGAGGCAGGTCTTTCCACAAGCTCCATCTCCCACAATGACAAGTTTCTTGCGTATGGCAGCCATCTCTACTAAAAGAAGAATATTCTTTTTTTTTTATTAAAAGTTTTACAAATTACAATATAAACTCACCCATCACCTCCCCCCCTTCCCCACTTCCCAGAGCTGATTACAGGGTAACAAATAAACAAACATACTTTAGCTAACATAAACATACTCTAGCTAACATAAACCAACTAAACTATCAATCAAAACCATAATACACATAACTCCTTCTCAAAACAAATATTAACAAATTAAGACAAAAATAATACCATTAATACTATTAATAATTATCTAAAATCTATTCAAAAGCAAGATAATACTTTTCAGTTTCATACTTCTTCTGAATATAATCAATCCATCTTCTCCAAACCATAATATATCTTTCTTGTGAATGATCCTTCAAATAGGCGGAGATTTTCGTCATTTCTGCTAAATTAGTATCCATTCTTCCAAAGTAGGCAATAAGTTTTTCTTCCAATATTGCCCCACCAATAATCTTGCAGCAGTTATGAAGTTCAACATCAAATTAGTTTCTTTAACATCCAAATCTACAATAATACCCAACAAAAATAATTGCGGAGTAAACTTTATCTTTTTCATAAAAATCTTTTGAATATTCCACCAAATCTTAATCCAAAAAGCTTTAATATCTTTACAAGTCCACCAAATATGAAAATAAGTTGCATCTAAATTTCCACATCTTTTTGGATACATGCGGGACAACTTTTGGGGATCCAAATGCCATCTATAAAACATTTTATAAAAATTTTCTCTTAAATTTTGTGCTCGAGTAAATTTTACATTTCTAACCCAAATTGTCTCCCATGTATCCAATAAAATTGGCTCTTGGATATTTTGCGCCCATTTAATCATACAATCTTTAACTAACTCCGTTTCAGAGTCCAATTCTATTAAAGCATTATAAATTCTTTTTATATGAAATTGACTTTGATCTTTAATCTGTTTTACCAAATTCACATCCTCTAAAATAATACCAACCTTTTTATCTATATTCCACCTCAATAACAATTGATTATAATGAAACCAAGAATATACAATATTTTCTTGCTTCAACTCAGTTAAAGGCTTTTATTGCCAATGCTGCCCAACCAAACTAAGTAATTCCTTCTAAGAAATCTTATCCAAATTTACTCCCCCAGATACTCCCTCTATCACGTGTCCTGGAACACCCCAAATTGGGATTTTATAATTTAACCTATAGTAATACTTTTTCCAGACACGCAGCAAGGCACTTCTCAAAATATGGGTTTTAAAAACCTGATCCACTTTTTTATCATAAATTAAATATGCGTGCCATCCATATAATAAATCCCATCCCTCAAGAGATAGGATATTCTTATTTGTTAAGTTGAGCCAATCACTAATCAAGTGATAAAGCCACCGCATCATAATACAATTTTAAATTCGGTGCCTTTAATCCTCCTCTTTCCCGTGTATCCTGCATAATTTTAAATTTAACTCTCGGCTTTTTCCCTGCCCAAATAAATTTATTAATCTCCTTCTGCCATTCTTCCAAATTGGCATCTTTTTTCAAAATAGGTATCATCTGAAATAAAAAAAGAAACTTTGGAAGTATATTCATTTTAATTGCCGAAATTCTCCCCAACAAAGATAATTGTAATTTTTTCCAATCATTTAAATCCTTTTGCACTTTTACCCATAATATCTCATAATTATTTTTATACAATTTAATATTAGAGGACGTTAAATAAATTCCTAAATATCTGACCTTTCTCACTATTTCAAAACCTGTTAATTTAACTATAATATCCTTTTCCTTCATAGACATATTTTTCGATAATATTTTAGTCTTATTATTATTTACCTTAAACCCAGAAACCTTCCCATACTGACGTAAAATTTCAACCAAATCCCTAACTGAATCTGTCGGTTGAGATAATGTCACAACCAAGTCATCGGCAAAAGCTCTCAACCTATAATCATTCTTATTTATTTTTATTCCCTTTATTCTAGGTGACTCCCGAATTTTAATAAGTAAAATCTCCATGGTTAAAACAAATAACAATGGGGATAAAGGACATCCCTGTCTTGTACCCTTTTCAATTTTAAATGAAGCTCCATCTCCCATAATGACAAGTTTCTTGCGTATGGCAGCCATCTCTACTAAAAGAAGAATATTCTTCAGTAACTGATTGCATGGCCCTTAATGCACTTTTTTAATAAGAAGTGTTACCTGGGTACTTGTGGAACCAGAACATGAACTGCCAAGTAAACTGCCACATGTTTCAAGAACTATGGTTGGTTGTTAGTAGGGCAATACTGGAAGAAGGAATCTTTGCCTACTTTGCAAGAGTGGTTTTTTAAAGTATCCTATCTGGCGGAAACGGCAAAAATTTCGGCTTTTTTAAAGTATCAAAATGGATAGATTTTATACAACATAAGTTGGATATAAAAAATATTACTTAGTTTATCAATAATTTATATACAAATTTTAATATTTTATAGATTGTATTATTTCTTTTTCTCTTTATATGTTTTATTATTATTTTACTTTCTTATATTTCTTTTCTTCTTTCTTTCTCTTTATTCTTCTTTTTTTTAAGTATTTTTTTTTCTTTAATATTTATGTCTTTTTTTATATATATATATATTATTGTTAATTATTCTATTAGTAGTTTAAGTAATGTATTTAGACTTATCTATGGTTTATATACATTTTTTTTAAGAATTCAAAAAAATTTAATTAAGCCTATATTCAGCTCTGGGAAAGTTGAGGGAGGGAGTGGGAGGGTTGGGGTGGGTTGGGGAGGGGAGGGTTGTTTTTTCTTATTTTGTAAAATTTTAAAAATTTTCAATTAAAAAAAAAAGAACTATGGTTGATAATATATTTTCAAGAGATATGGTATAAGATTTAAGACTGTCTGAAGACTGAAAGATCAGCAAAATTGAAAAAAAAATATTTGACAAAAGTATATACCAAATAAGAACTCTAACATGAATCCTTCATCCAAGAATTTCCAAAATGGCAGGGCAAAAGTTAAAGAAAGTAGCAATGTGAAATTAAAACTACAGGTAGTCCTCAGCTTACCACCACAATTGAGCCCAAAGTTTATTTTGCTAAATGTCATTACTGTGACAAAAAGTGGTGTAGAAGGGGCGTTGGTCTTACCTGAACGCCTTTTCTCAGTACGGAGATGGATAATCCACGGATGGGTTTTCTCTGTCTGCCTGCTCTTGAGACCAAGTAGCCAAAGCTTGACACGCCCCCACTTCCTGTGGAGTCCATTCTTAACGAGGGCGAATTGGCTGATGATTGACGAGGTATTGGCTCTCAGCTCCCTACTAGCGGCCTGCTGGCCTTGGGGTGGGTGTGGATTATCCATCTCCGTACTGAGAAAAGGCGTTCAGGTAAGACCAACGCCCCTTCTCCAGTACAGGAGATGGATAATCCACGGATGGGACGTACCAAAGCCTCACTGTCCCAAGGGGTGGGAAACAGATAAGGCCGGTAGATTGATCTCTGAGACAACTTGCTGGAGGACCCTCCTACCAAAGGAGGCGTCCGCCGATGCAAAGCGGTCTATCTTGTAGTGTCGTATAAACGGGGAAGGCGAGGACCATGTCGCGGCCCTGCAAACTTCCTCGATTGACGCCTGGGTAGCCCATGCCGCCGAAGTTGCAGCGCTTCGGGTGGAATGGGCTGTGAGATGACTTGGGGGCGGCAGGGATGATACATTGTAAGCTTCTGCGATACAGCTTCGGATCCACCTTCCAATGGTGCCCGCGGAAACTTTCCGCCCCAAGGTGCCCGCTTGGAAGGACACAAATAGGGCCTCCGATTTGCGGAAGGGTTCTGTACGCTTTATATAACGCCGCAAGGCTCTGCGGACGTCCAATGTATGCCACTGCCGCTCCCGGTCATGTGTTGGATTTGGACAGAAGTTTGGGAGAATTACTTCCTGTGTCCTGTGAAAGAGTGAATTCACCTTCGGTATGAAGGCAGGATCTAACCTAAGGACCACCCTGTCCTTGTGGAAAATGCATAGGTCGTTTCTGACTGACAGTGCGGCCAGTTCCGAAATTCGTCTGGCCGATGTGATGGCAATCAGGAACGCCACCTTTAGCGACAGGTGTCGCAAGGAAACGGTCGCCAATGGTTCAAATGGTGACCGAGTGAGTGCGTGAAGGACTCGCGGTAGTTCCCAGGACGGGTACCTGTGAATTACTGGAGGTCTGGTGTTATAGGCGCCCTTGATAAAGGCGCGGATCCTGGGGTGGTGAGCTAAGGGAACCGAATCCGTGCAGGTGAGGAGGGTGGACAAGGCCGCCACTTGCCTGCGGATGGTCGCGGGGGCGAGGCCTCTGTCTAGTCCCTCCAAGAGGTAATCTACTATCTGAGGGATGTAGAGTTTGTGTAAGTCAAACTGCCGTTCCCTGCACCAAAGGCAAAAATTTTTCCAAGTGGAGTCATAAATGCGGTTTGTTGCCGGACGGCGTGAAGCTTGAATTATGGTAATGGCCCCGGGAGAGAATAGTTCCTGTGCCATTATCTGGCGCTCAAGTGCCAGGCGGTCAGTTGTAACCATTGGGGTTCCGGGTGACTGATGGTTCCCTGGTGTAGGGACACTTGATGAGGGGGAATGTTCCATGGGGGCGACTGAGACAGGTTCATCAGGTCGGCGAACCACGGTCTCTGTGGCCAATATGGTGCTACTAGGATCACTTCTGCCCGCTCCTGAATCAGCTTTCGGATGACCGCCGGTATGAGTGGTAGTGGGGGAAAGGCATAAAGCAGACCCTGAGGCCACTGAGTTCTCAGAGCGTCCGTCCCCTCTGCTCGCGGGTTGAAGTAACGAGAGTAAAATCTGGGGAGCTGGGCATTGTCTGATGATGCGAACAGATCGAGGATCGGGTACCCGAACTTGCGGGAGATGTCTAGGAACAAGTTCGGGTGTAGCCCCCACTCCGAAGGGTCCACTGTGGTGCGGCTTAGGAAGTCCGCTTGCTGGTTGTTGACCCCCGATATGTGTTCCGCTTTTAGTGA